AAATGTATAACGATGTGCGACAATATCCCGATAAGGTTTTTAATTACTACAAAATGTCGATTGGTACTTTTGATAAATTATTACAAGCTGTGGGCCAGTATCTACAACATAAAAACACTGCATTTCGTATTGCAATATCACCTGAAGAGCGACTGTCAATTACTTTAAGGTAAAAAAACAGTTTTTAATTATTATGAAAACTTTTATTTCAAACTATTGAACAGGGAAAATTAAAAAATAAGAAGTAAAATAATAAGAAAGAATCTAAGCAAATTTTTTAGTTTACTCTGCGGCATAGTTTTGCTCTTACATTCACTGATTTCCAAATCGTGAAAAATAATTTGCAGTCGAACTGGCTGGCCTTAAAATTTGTTGGTCGATAATTTGCACCTGATTTTGTGGCTCTACGCTCGCCTAGTCGAGAGTAAATAAAAAATCGAACGCGGTTAACCTCGGTGCGTGCGCCGCACTACTATTACTAAGGGACTCATAAAAATCGCGCTTACAAGCCGCGGTCCAAATGTAACAAGTTACGTTTTTAAAATCAGTCATTTAAAAAAAGTCGCTAATGCGTGCGCTTGTATAGAATGCTACATTTTTTTTTGCGGTTTCAGACGTGCGGTTAAACGCGTGCGTTTAATCGCAGTGCGTGCTAAGCCTTAACCTCACAAAAGTGACCATTCTCTAAGAAAGAGACAAAGCAACTGCATGGCCAATACCTGTCTCTTTCCTGTAGGCCTGATTTGTCCACAACCTGCAAGCCAGTGACGTAGATCCAACAAAATTTGACGTAGACCAATCAGAATTCTAGAAAGAGACTACTAGTAGCCGTACATTCGCCTTGTCTCTCTTGCACTTTTCTGTCTGCATTCACTGCACAACTGAATACGGAACGCTCAGTCCATTCTCTCTATGTCTATGAATTTACTTAACTCTACTATCGTAACTAGAAAATTGTGATAATAGATTCTATACTTGTTACGGCCCTCAGCTGCCCCGACAAAAGTCGACTGGGCTAGGGCCCATAGTAGCCTCCTCGATGAGCAGCCAGAGGGTTCGGGCCCAATGGCCTATGGGCAATTATTCTAAAACGGCTTACAAGCAAACAAAACTTACCGAGTACCAGAGGTAGGGTTGACCACAGGGTACCAGTCAGGTGGTAAGTGAGGTGTATGTAAGTAGTGTGCGAAAGTGAGTATAAATGTAACCTGACATCCCCGATGTAGTCGGACCGCAGATCCCCAGGCGCTGCTTTTCTCCAAATGTGCGATCCCTCCAGTAGGCGTTCACCAATTGAAAACTTCTGCTATTATTTCACTATATTAGTTTATCAACTTTATTGTACATTTAATTAACTTCAAATTTAACTAAATCCACGTTAATCAAAATCAAACAAGTGACACACGGCACAACGACACTGCGGCGGACGCGCACAATACTTGACACTAGCCGCGCCCAACTTACTCAAAACTATTACAAAAGAATTATATAAGACTAGCCTCGTTGCCAAGCAAAACGCACGAGATTAGACAACTTCAAATTTAACTATTCAGAAGCGGCTCCGCGCGCAAACTTTAGGCCGTCCAATAAACACCGGCCGCGTGCAACCAACAAGCGGTCGCAGACAATACTAGTCGACAAGGCCGCGGCGGTCAAGACACTGTTGCCGGCCCACGCGGTCGAATGCCGGGAAGCGGCACACGGCCGCCCCCCACCCCTCCGGCGGCGCACACGCCACCCAAATACCATCGCATGACGCGCCGAGGCAAGCGCCCTCGAATGTTTTAGATTAGGCTTAAACAAACCCCCGTCCCGGACATCAGGACTTATGTCCGCGAGTAAATTAGCAAACGGGATAGGGTCGCGACGACACGTTGCAAGACCGAATCTCCAACCAAAACCTCGGCCACCCTAGGCACCCCATCAGATCCATACTACAACTTAACAATGCGCCCAGGGCGCCCATACAAAAGCAAAGCGTTAGGTTCTTTAACTAACACGAGGTCTCCAACCCGAGGAGGATCCGTCTTTTCAGACCACTTAACGCGCTGCTGCAATAGATGTTAGTACTCCAGAGACCATCGATGCCGAAAACTCTGAGTCATTTGTTACAGCAGTTCCAATCTGCTCAACCGCGAAGAGTTTATTTCCCTGAAGGGGTACTCGGGCAGATCGTTAAGCGGCTGGCCAGTCAGGAAGTGGCCCGGGGTTAGAACCTCCAAATCATTCGGATCGGACGAGAGGGGCCAGAGGGGCCGAGAGTTGAGAACCGCCTCAAACTACCGCCCCAATGTGGGCAAGACGGAGGGTCGAACCTCCACTGGATGACTTTCCTGGATATCGCAGCACCTAAATAAGTCCTGTTGCTGGACAGAAATTCGACGACCTCTTTCAAATATCTATCTGTGCCCCTATAATTCGTCCCGCAATCAGACCGGATCAGATCCGCAAACCGCGACGCGATACAGATTCTTAGAGAGACATGATCTTACATCGATACAGAACAAAACACTGTTAAACAAAAATATTGTACACTACATAGTCTAATATTTAATAAAGTGATATTTAACATTTGACTTTGTATTAACTGGACACAAATAACTCATTTTTCAAAGCGACCTTTCCTATGTGTAATAAAAAGTTTGGTCACCTTGCTAGTAAGAGATAAACAGCCTCGGTAGTACACATCCGTATCGGTTCGTTTTTTTGGTAGAGTACTCAGTCCTGTTTGTATAGTACGTTCATGAAAAATACTAGCGCAGTTCACCAATAAATTAATTTTTATTTCGCTCAGGAAATTTCACATTAAGTTGATACGTTTCATTGCGAAATTTTGTTGAGATATTGACGACAACTTAACCCAACAGAATGTAAAATATGTCAGTATCGCAAGGTTCCTAAGCAGATAAAAACCCGAGATATTAATAATTATATAATAAAATAAAAATAAATCACTATCGAAGCACTCATTACCTACATCTTGGCCATGATGAACTAAGAGGAACCCACATGTCTGGACAGAGGTGGTCACTCCGAGTGGGCTTGATGAGCCCACTTCGGATGTGTGTTGGTGGATTGTGGCGATAAAGGTGTCTTCTCCCCCTACCACAGCAGCCGAGCTGAAGTCGCGGGGGAATTGTATACATAGTGATGAGCCACCCGCTTTATCCTTCACGATTCTGGTGGGGCCACACTGCTGATGCGGTGAGGTATGTCAGCACTGCGAGGTGCTGCTCTCATCACCCCCCACAGCCGAAACTTAGTTGGCGGCGGAGCGATAGACTGGGTTCGTCACTGGGGTCTCGAAGGCATGTGCTACTAACTAAAAAGAATAAACATTGTATTATTTTTAGTTCTATAAAGTTGGCTTTTTACTTTTAATTAAAAGTTATTTATAATTATCATTTCTTTTTTAATAAATAAATAGACTCTAGTTTAAAATTAATAAAAATTTCAAGACAAACCAAAGACAATAATGCACAAAAACAAGCATTATTCTTATGGTTAAAATATTATGGTGATACCACATCTGTGTGAGCGCGAAGGCAATACATTTGTGTGAGACACAAATAAATTAATCACTAGTAATTGTATGAAATACTTTGGGTTCGGCGACCGGACTTTATAATTAAATATTATCATTTTAATACCAGACTTGTCTCAGATGTTTTATTTTAGATTATTACAAACTTTACATCGTGTGTTAGGACGTGTAAATACTTTTCTGTTGGAGCGTATACTGTTGTGGTACTGTGATATCTCCTATGTAGTTTATAGTTTCCTACACTACCCAGACACTGCTGTTGTGATCTAAGAGAAGATCAGCACCATCATTTCTCTTTATAGTATTTCATTAATTCAACGCCCTGGAAAATGCACTGTTAACTTATTTTTTTGTTGTTGTTAACTAAAATGCACAATCACTATTCACGAAATAAAAATTCTCAGTTTAAAATCTTCAGTCATAACAAGCAATAAAGTAAATATTATTTTACCTGCTATAATAGCATAACTAGCTAATAACTCTATCATACTTTTTTTGATATACATTTAAGATATATAACAAAAAAATAACTTTATATAAAAAGTATAAGTCAACTTCAAAGAAATGAAAAGAATAAAATAATTACCACAATCCACATAACATCTTTTGAAGTCAGTGCTAAGATACAGAAGGTATTAGTATGTGGAAATTATTTTATTCTTTTAATTCCTTCATGTTGCTTTTTACAATCGTTAAAGTAGTCATAATAATAGATACCACTTTTAATAAAAAGTAAAAAACGTCTTCAAAGTGCTAAAAAAGAAGTTATTTATTTGCTACCCTTAGGGGTGGAATTTTACTCTAAATTTATATGGAACCACGTTTGAAGTATAAACTATTTAATAATAAAGAATCATCAAAATTGGTTCACAATCTACGAAGATATCGTGTTACATACATACAAAAAAAAACATACACTCGATTTCAGAATCTCCTCCTTTTTTTAAGTCGGTTAAAAAGTGGATTTTTTATTTATATTGGTCCATCTCTGAAGTACAATTTATTTAATAAAAAGAATGTCGTCTTGTTGTGAAATATAAAAGTTCATTTATTTTTAGTAATCGATTATTATAATTGATTTAAACTTCGAAGGAATAAAGTTTTAATCGATCCTGCATAACTGCTACTGTCATAATTACTATTAACTATTAATTCCATAGACACTTCACTATATAACAGGGAATTATTTCTAGCTCAGCTGATTGAAGAACAGAATTAAAATAAACTGCATATTCAATATATTTTTAAAAATACGTTTTTATGATTATTAAGAATTTAATAGTTTATATTTTATGACCCAATTATACCTTACTCTTTACTCATTATTAAATATTACAATAAGTTATGTAGGTACCAGGAACTCAAATCTCAAACTCAAATGGCAACAAACAACACCTGTCTAGTCTGCGCGAGTGTGCGCGGAGAAAATTTAAGAAAAAATAAAAAAAGGAAAGAAATGGCAGTTACTAGAGAGAAAGAAAATTGTTCAAGAAAATTTAATGGAAATATACCTGCATTATCGCTCAATAGTGATAATATGTCGACATCTACGGACAGTGACGACTTAGCGGACCCAACATACGAAATTAGGAATATTCGTAGTATTATAAACGTGACCCGTGAAAACATTGACGCTCTGAACGCGAAGTTTGCAGGGTTTCAGCATCCTCCGCCGTTATATTTATCCGAGTACCAAGAATTGACATCGAAGTTGCATAACTTAGAAGGAACTTTAAGAGAACTGTTACAATCAGAATCCCCGGATAGAAGTGAAGAGTGTTCATTGCAGGATGACTCAAAGAAGTATGACACTCTTACGCGTCAGCCGAAGGTGTTTCTGCGAGCACACCTTCCAAACCAGCAGCGTACGAGTGTGCAAGTGAAAGAAGGAGTTACGCTTCGAGATGCGCTTTCCAAAGCGCTGAAACTTAGGAATTTGACGTGTGAAATGTGCGAAGTGGTGCGGACAGGCAATAATCAAGTGATACCGTGGGATGTTGACATCACTATGATCGACGCTGAAGAGGTATGACTTAGGGGCTCTCAGTTTTTATTACCATTTTATAAGTTGTGTCAAATTCACGTGCATACAGATTTATTTCAACAACTTAATAATTTAATTTTACCACACTGCCGTGTAGGATTTTTTTTTCATATCTGAGAAATTTAAATGCGTAGAGAACATGTGAAATCTGTTAACATGTATTAATATAACATGGCATACTTTTGTCTGTTCTTAAACATAAGAAATGTAATTAGGCCTATATCTGACATAGTGTTTGTCTACGGCTATAGTTTGCTTGATAAACATAACTTAATTCTTATATTTATAATAGTTATGCAGTAGGTTCTTTAGTTTGAGAAGTCTCTGAAATTTCAGATATGAGAAGGAAAGTCTCACTTTTATTCACCTAAATTATTAACTACAACAAATTATAGATTTTGTCAATATTTAGTAATATCTATTCTAGAATAATAAATAAAATGTAATTAATGGGATAGGAGCAAAGTGCTGCATATCTTATGCCAATTATGCAGTGTCCCCCTGGGGACTAAGAAGGAAGGCCTCATTTCCAGTAAGACCATATTAAGAAACACAGCAGCATTAAGCTGCTATTTTACGCTGGTATTCTGTGAGAGTGTGGTCCTACCCTAGTAGAGCTGACCTATTCATGCTACAAATAGCTGCAGCATTGCTCTACCATGTATACCATATGTTTCTGTTTCTCTCTATCAAAGAGTTGTTTCACAAACAGTTATCATAATTAAAAATTAAAAATTTTGTATAGTTGACTTCAATATAAGTTATTAAGAATAACTCAATAACTATTGGTCTGACCTTGATCAAATTCATATGGGACCACACGAGAAGTATCAGCTATCAAATAAAAAAAGAATCATCGAAATTGGTTCACCCAGTAAAAAATTATGAAGTAACACACATACAAAAAAAAGCATACAGTCGAATTGAGTACCGTCTCCTTGGAAGTTGGCAGAAAAATGCAGAGTACAATGCACAGAAATCTACTTGAGAGAATGGCAGAATGTATTTACACTTTGAATACCCGGTAGGGGGCTCACACCTTTGTCACCTAAGTATAGACATATTAGTATATAGTAATCCTTTTCTGCCTGGTAGTTTGGCTGGATTAAGTACTACCCCCTTACCTATTTGTGTTAAATATTTATTTATTTATTTAATCTTTCATGCACAAAGTTGTACATATGGTGGACTTAATGCCATAGGGCATTCTCTCCCAGTCAACCATAAATATATAAAAATAATATTATAATAAATAGTAATGTTGTACTGCTGTATTTTAGTCTGAAGTTTATAGAGAGCTAGTATCCCGTTATGGTGTTTTGCAATGAGGAAATGAGACATACAGAAATTATATTTCTTTTATAAAAGAGGGCCGTATGAGCAATTTATGAATTAAAAACTAAAGCCTGTCTGAGATAAAAATTTAAAGAAATCAATATATCAACTTTGACCTCTCTCAATATATTTAAAAAACTGTAATGTATGTGAATACACAAAAATATTAGTAATTATAAGATAAGTGATATTTACTTTGTAAATACTAAGAACAGACACAAGCTTGTATCAGTAACAGGATGTCACAGTCAGTAATTCATTCTTGGGGCAATGTGTATGCTTTTTACAAGAAATTCATAAAAGTTATACACAATGTGTCCACTGCCAATTTCAAAAACTTTATTTAACTTTAATGAATTAATGGTTGATAGGAATGAGGTGTTTGCTACCAAGCTATATTTAATATGTTTGTATGGTTAACAAATATATGTAACATAATCAATGATTGTAAACTGTTCTTTGTCAACAAAAATACGGTCCTGCTGGATTTCTTTCTTGTTCTTCCCAGGACAGAGAGATAGAGATATTTTCAAAGTGGTAGTTTTTATTGTTTGCTTGTTGATAATATAAAGTTTTGACTGATGTTGTTATCATAATATAAAATGTATTTACGTACTAGGGATCCATGCTGACATTGTACGGGTGATTTCTGGATTTCGATTCGATTTCGACAACAGCGCCACCTATCGGATCCAACTGTAAATCTAAACTATCCAGGAACCCACTCAAACACACCAAAAATTTCATGAAAATCAGTCGAGCCATTTTCGTGTTTTAGCAAGACTAACAGTCAGCCAGTTGCAAAGAGTCGTTTTAAAACTTAAATGTTAGCTCATTCTTCAATACAATGAAAATCTCAAGACAGGCAAAACACACCATTAGAAAGTGTAATTAATGTATATGGTATCTAGTTAGTTTTGATTAAGTGTTTGTTTACTGGTTAATTAATATGGTCACCTTTTGGTGCACCACTTGTTCAACTACTGATACAAACTGATTTTTGTTGATGGTGTACTTTTTATTAATCGACTTAAAAAAGGGGGAGGTTCTCAATTCGGATGTTTATATTTTTTATGTATGTTCCGGCGTAACTCTATTATATTATATAGACTGATTTGCAAAATTCTTTTTTTGTTAGTTAGGCATATTCTGAAATGGACCTATTTAAATTACTGATGTGACGATAAGTATTGGAGACCGACAATGAAATCTTCAATAAATACCAGCAAATCAACCACGATTGCTATCACATATCTATGCATTGTTTACACAATCGCACAACATAACATTAAGCCTGTACCATATATAGAACATGGTATGCAGATATGTTCAGTGTAGCATGGTACACCATAGTACACTCTCATTTCTATCAAAGCTGTTATTGGGATACCACTAATCTTGCAAGTAAATTTGGGTATAACTTTTTTGTTCATGTTTATGAATTGATTTAATATATACAACGTGTCCCAAAATTCAACGATAAGCCAACACCGGAGGATAGACCTGCCCCGGACTAATCGGGTAAAAAAAGAAAAAAAAATATATCCCAATTATATTTTAAGTTATATAAAAAAAATGAAATTCTTCAGAAATTGAGACCGTTTATGATATTTTTCACTACCATGACCACAATTTTTTAAATATTTTTTTCTTTTTTTTTTTATAGGCAACCTGAATAGTACTGCTATCTACCACAATTCTTAAAAACTCCAGAATAACTCTTGTTTTATCACGAAGATTAATGAAACTTATTTTATTCCCTAAATTTTTTGAAGACTTTTACTTTTAACCAAATTTAACTTATCGTGGTGTAAAAAAAAGTATGAACACTAGTATGGCAAGTTTTTATAAAAATTGACGCAACTAACCAATATTCCAAAATGGTATAATACTCTAGGAAAACAAGTTATAAAAAAATATGGGCCTATTATTTCTTAACAGGGGCCAAATGACGGTCGGGTGTAATAAAAGTATTATTTCTTGAAAAATGTTTAATATTTCAAAACAAATGGTACAAACAGTTTCACGTGTAATTTATTAAGTTATTAACATTATAGCAAATGTTCGAACTGTTTGCCACCAGCATTAATACATGCACGACATCGCCTTAAAAATGATCGTTTTATTTGTCTTGCATATCTTCTGCTATTAATGTAATCAGCAGCCTGAGTGATATTTCGACGAAGCTCGTCCAATGTCACAATGGGTTTTGAGTAGACCCTGTTTTTAAGACAACCCCAATAGAAGAAGTCCAGGGGGTTCAAATCGGGTGAACGGGGTGGCCATAAGATAGGACCAAGTCGCCCGATCCAACGCCCTGGATACTCTTGATTTAAATATTCTCGCACAGGACGGGCATAATGTGCTGGGCAACCATCATTTTGGAACCACATGTTTTGAAGATCACTTAAGGGCACGTCGTTTAACAATTCTTGCAAGTCATTTTGTAAAAAGTTTAAATAACTATTGCCATCTAAGTTTCCTTGTAACTCAAAGGGCCCAATTACTTTTCCATTTAATATGCCGGTCCATAGGTTAACCTTGAATTGATATTGGGATTTGTCTTGTCTCATCAAGTGTGGATTTTCATTACTCCAACTATGTAGATTGTGAAGATTTAAATACCCATCTTTCTTGCACGTTGTTTCATCCGACCATAGAATTTTGTCTAGGAAGTGGGGATCTTCACTGTGCCTTTGCAGCATTACACGGCAAAATGTGACCCGTAGCGGATAGTCCCGCGGTAATAACGTCTGCACACGCCTGTAGTGATATGGGTGAAGCTTGTGACGTTTTAATATTCGATGTGCAGAACTTTTCGGGATTCCTGTAGCTTCTTCTATGGCACGTACCGAAGTAGTCGAGTCATTTTCTATCTCCTTGAGAACTTCTTCATCACGATCCAATCTAGGTCTTCCAGCGCTGCTCCTATTGGATGGCATACGACCCTCCGAAAACGCTTGATGCACATTAATAAACACTCGATAATCAGGATATCTTTGAGCATTTGGGTATCTTTCTGGATACAGTCTGCTAGCAGCGTTAGCATTACATCGGCATTCTCCATAGATTAAATGCATATTAGCGTATTCCTGTGGTGTGTACGGTTGCGGCATGTTAAACGCCAAACAGTCCAAAATGCGCCAGAACTCTAAATCAAAACACACAATCGTAGTCCAAGATAATGCCAGGTCAGTTCAGTTTGCAGATCACTTCCAGTCCAAATAATGCCAGGTCAGTTAAGTTTGCAGGTCGATTCCAGTCCAAAAAGCCAAGCCAAAAGTCGATAGTATGTACGAGGGCCACGTAAGTTGAATTGGGTACGGTGCGCAGTATACAAAGGAGCAGAGCGTACTGAACCGACTTGCTGAGAATAATAACAGCTTCTCTACCTGCCCTGTTGTTGTCTCTTTTTAACGTAAATATCTCTATCTATCTATCTCTCTCTAACATCTAAGGTATTAATGCCCCATTCGAATTCCTAGAAATTGTAACAGGAACCCATTTTGGGCATGTAGTAAAAGTGATTACTGACAATTACAATTTAAGGAATTTGGCCCCTGTTAAGAAATAATAGGCCCATATTTTTTTATAACTTGTTTTCCTAGAGTATTATACCATTTTGGAATATTGGTTAGTTGCGTCAATTTTTAAAAAAACTTGCCATACTAGTGTTCATACTTTTTTTTTACACCACGATAAGTTAAATTTGGTTAAAAGTAAAAGTCTTCAAAAAATTTAGGGAATAAAATAAGTTTCATTAATTTTCGTGATAAAACAAGAGTTATTCTGGAGTTTTTAAGAATTGTGGTAGATAGCAGTACTATTCAGGTTGCCTATAAAAAAAAAAGAAAAAAATATTTAAAAAATTGTGGTCATGGTAGTGAAAAATATCATAAACGGTCTCAATTTCTGAAGAATTTCATTTTTTTTATATAACTTAAAATATAATTGGGATATATTTTTTTTTTCTTTTTTTACCCGATTAGTCCGGGGCAGGTCTATCCTCCGGTGTTGGCTTATCGTTGAATTTTGGGACACGTTGTATATATTGAAGTTGTACAAAATTTTGAATTTTAGCACTTGTTAACTTTCAAACAGTGTTTTGTAAGCCCAATTTGTAGTACCCTTGTAGTTGAATATAGGAGTGAATATAGTTCATATGGTGATTGGCTGCAACTATTTAAAACTTTAGTAACTTGTGACTAATGAAATCACAGTGGTATAGAAACACAGTAAAATTAGGAAATGTGATCAGTTGTAGCACCAAAACTAAAGTAGAAGATAATAACACCTGACAATATAAATCAAGGGAAATTACAAATTGCAAGTGTACAGTAAAAACCCTAGCCCTTTGCAATATTTTGTATACAGACACTCACATACTTATTTTCCCCACCTAGCCTATATGTCTATAATTTTTTTTTTATAGGTTGGGGTGACAAACGAGCACACAGTCCACCTGATGATAAGTGGTTGCTGTGGCCCATAGACATCTACATCTATCCTCGTTTGTGAATCAAAATGCAGATGCGTTGTCACCTGTGAGGACTAAGATGGAATGCCTCTTTTCCTGTAAAAAAGGTCTCCGGTTCTCTACACTCACTATACGAAACACAGCAGTGTTAAGCTGCTATTTTACACTGGTATTCTCTGAGAGTGTGGTCCTTCCCCGTCGAGCCGACCCATTCGTGCTACAACTATACTACTAATATAGCTGCAGCATGGCTCTACCATGTACAAAACGGTTGAACGGTCATACTGTGCACTGAGGCTGTTTGCCTGGTTCCTGTGCCGATTGGTAACATACTACCATTTTGCCTACTATAATACTTTTGCATTTCCTTCACTTTCATATCTATAACAGCAAGTTAATTCTCTAGGTTATGGTTGGTGCTGCCAACACAATTTTAATAAAATTATATTGACTTTGGTCAACCTCATGCTTAATTATTAAGGAAACAAACATTGAGTATTTATTCAAAAGATCTGTAATCTGTATATATACTTTCTTTTATAAATAATGTATATTTTTTTTGCAAATATAGTTACAATAACCAAAGCTGTAAACAAAGTTTGCTTGAAAATTCTTGTAAATTGAATAGCATAAAACATTTATAAAGTATATGTTATTTTAAAATATGTAAATATTCAAAATATGCTTATTCTAAAATGTTCGATAGGTGACAGTTCGGACGTTAGACAAGCTGCCCATCATGTCCCATATCTCACACCAGTTCACGCGGAAGACATTCTTCACCCTGGCGTTCTGCGAGTGTTGCAGGCGGCTGCTATTCAACGGCTTTTATTGCTCGCAGTGTAACTTCAAGTTCCATCAGCGATGTGCCGATAAAGTGCCAAGTATATGTCACCAGGTAAATAACACAATTTAATGGAAGTTCATTTTAAAGTTAGTTTTTACCTTAAAATATTAATTAAGAAAGTTTTATCTCTATACAAATAAATAAAATTGAAGTGTCTGTTTGTAATGTTAAAATAAAAGATTTTTGCGAAATGCATATGAAAGTATATACGGTACTAATAACAAACAATTTTTAAAAGTTTTGTCTGTCTGTCTGTATGTTCTGGCAAATCTCCGAAACGGTTGGACCGAGTTTGACGGAACTTTCACTGGCAGATAGCCAATGTTATAAGGAGTAACTTAGGATACTTTTATTTTGGAAAAGAATTAGGGTTTCGCAAAAAAAAATTAAAACCCATGAAATCGTAGTAAATTCCACGCGGGCGAAATCGCGGGGTACAGCTAGTTGAAACTGTTCTTTGAAGTTATGTATGAAAAACAAGAAATGCGTCAATGGTATCCACAACTTTTTCTGCCATCAGGCTGGCGCCTCTTTAGGGATGAGGTGCAATATTTAACAGATTTCATACCGAGGGAAATTTAATTTGTTAGAAAAGTGTAGATTAATTTTTCTTTATCAATTATTACTTATATTTAAAATTAATTTGATTAGAAATAGATAAACCAAACTAAGAATATCACTAGGATTAGATGAATTTAAAAACGTTATAAATGTGTAAAAAATTTTAATACAGTACTGCAGCTTTGTTTTGTCAATATACATACTGTAGAAAACGTTTTTTTTTTTTATTTAAAACGCAATTTTTCAATGATGATGGTACTGTGGCGACCATCTGCATAACTAATAAGTCACGTTAGTCCCAACTAGCGACGTCTGTCCTGATTGTTGTAACTGTCCATAAAAAATATGTAAAATATTTTATACGAGTTTTTTTATTCATAAATATTGCAGATGCGAGTAACCGACACATACTATGCGGCACTGTTGGCTCAGAACCCGGAGACTCAGGCTGGCATTTTACACTACCCCTCACATTTTGGCTACCATCATATGATTAACAGGGGCGATCAAAACAAGTAAGCTGAGTTAACTTTGTATACATTCTTATGCATGTTACTGCTACTGAGAATTCCTTGAAAGTTAAACCCAATAACTGATTTTGATTTGACCCAAACCGGGGATTTGAATCCGGGATCTCAAGATCGATACGACTACTAGGCCAATGTGGCCTTCATATAGAAATTGGGTCTCTTGCACTTGTTACTTACCATACAGAAGTGTTAATTCATTTTTGGGGCGATGTATACTCTTTTATAACAAAATCCCAGAAAATATACAAAATTTGACCTGCTTAAAGTTCAAAAACTTTATTAAACTAAGCTTGTATGAAAAGGTTTATTATAATATTAAGGAATTTATGGACGATAATAAACCCTGGTAGTAAGGTTATCGCTACCAAGGTATTTCTAATTTTTGTGTTGTTAATCATGTAACATATATGATTGTAAGCTGTTATTTAAAGAGAAAGTCCCGCTAGGTTTTTTGCTGGTTCTGCCCAGGACAGAGGTTTTTCTCCGAACCAGTGATAAATTAAACAAAATGATGACTTTCTATAAGAATTATTTATAATCTATATTCTAGAAAAAAGTTTCTGTTTTATCTGTCCATAATTGTTAACTGCTACACATGGGTTCCACTCTAGGAAGGATTCGCCTTAAGTTAAATTTGGCAGGCGGATTGACAATCTAGATGTCTCACATCCTTGATGCTGCTGCCCTTAGCCGGCCTGAGTATTCTACGTCTGGCAAAAACAAGATGGTATATCGCCATCTTTTTTTACCCAAAGGGTAACCAACAGAACCCTATTACTAAGCCTCCGTTGTCCATCCATCCTTCAGTCCGTCCGTCCGTCTGTCTGTCAGCGGGCTGTATCTCATGATCCGTAATAGGTAGACAGTTGAAATTTTCACAGAATGTTTGTATTTCTGTTGCCACTCTAATAACAAATAAAAATAAAAATGGGTTCCCCTACTAGAAACGTGTTTCGCGATTGTACGGAACCCTTTATGCGCGAGTCCGACTCGCAATTGGCCGGTTATTTTCTTATCGTAAGCCAGTGCTTGATCACAATCCCACCTATAGTGTAATCTATCCTAAGCTACAAGTTTTTCTGGAGTTTACCGTAGTCACCTCTTACGGCTTGGCAGGAAATGGGGTGGTGGAGTCTCTTACGTCGTTACTATAACATCGAAAATATAGGCATATTACATTTAGTTTTTATTTATCTTTTTTCTCTTTATTGACTTGTAGAGATTACCATAGACATCAAGTCCGCCCACTGCAACCCTCAGTTTATGGTTATAATAAGGAATAGCGTATGTGAGGGTAATATGGTCGCTTTCTGATAACTTAAAAACTACAGACTTATTTGCAAAGATGGCTCTGTGATGAAAGGCGAAAAGGGCGCAGCTTTTCGACGCCATTTTGACTATTGACATTATAAATAAATATGGTCATTAAGCTGCTTTTTGACGTTAATTTTGCGAAGTGTTCCTAATTATTGTCAAAGCTTGTTTGCTTTTTTTTTTCATGATATATTAGTTACTAGCGATTTTCCGGCTTCGCACGGATGCAATGTAGATACTAATATGGAGGCAGAGTGCAGTGGTTAATAATATTATGCTTAGTCTACACTACAGGATATCTTTGTATACAATATTTACAGCTGATTTTTCATGAGACAGTACAAACATGTTTTCTTTAGAGGTTATTCCCGAAAGCGCGACATATAACTGGCCGTGTGAGAAACACTCAACGCTCAAATCTAAGCCTGCAACGTTGTATGTCAAACATGTGTGAAATCAACCCTGTGACTTATCGACGGCTCCGTGGCGCAGTGGCTTAACAATGAGTTGCTGCGCTGGGGGTCGCGGGTTCGAATTCCGCACGGAACAAGTATTTGTATGGCCTACAAATAATTGTTCCTGGTCTGGATGTTTGTCCTTGTGCAATTTGTGTTTGTAAACTGCCTCCACGATACAGGAGAAAATCCTAGTGTGGGGGTAACGTTATTTAAAAGAAAAAAGAAAAATTAATGATCATCGCAAAAGATAGCTTTACTGGAAATTGCAAGCGCTTTAATTGAAATTGTAAATCCGGCGTTATAAGAGGAATCCGGGGAATTAAAACATCTCCAGTACCACATCCAGGATATAGATAATCAAGATATAGTCTTACAACTTATGTTATCAATGTCCATTGCCAACTTTGAGTATGATCTCTGAAAGAAGCCTATTCTCACGTGAAGACAATGAAACCCTCATGTTTGATCTTTTAATGAGGCATTTATTTCATCAGCACGTGTACCTCAAGTCACAACTGGTAGAATTTGACGAAAGTCACCCGAGAACAAAACTGTGAGCAGATAACTTGAAGAATGCTGTTAATGTTGTATCCTGTGGATTATTAACAACTTCTTGAATATTATTCTCAGTGAAATATACCCTTTGTCCATTTTCTAAATGAACTGCAAGATGAATAATCAAATTAAAAAAAAATACTCCATACTGCTTCAGAGCTGCAGATGTAACATCCAGATTGAAATTTTTTACTTCATTTGGAGATTGTATGCTAAAAATGGCCTGATCGCTTTATTTAAAAGGTCTAAGCTAACAGACAACGGAAGCGACTTCATTTTATACTATGTAAAGATAGTATACGACTTTGTGTTTTTGTCTCTACCCTCCTTTTGGTTTTATAGGGCGGCAAAGCTTAAGGTGACCATATTACCCTCACATACCTTATAAAGAACGATTTTTTTTTATGGTCAGTTAAAAGTTATCCTTCAAATAAGTTATAACCTGATTGAATATAAAAGTCGAAAAAAATCTAACAATTCTAGAACTGTAATTTTTTATTTGTTTGTTATACTAATTCTATGAATGACTTTTATCTGATTCCTAAAGAAATTCGCCCTTAATATAATTATGACATTTAAACATTAAAAAAACTTATTATTTTTGCAAACTTATAACTTTGGTCAGCCCTTTTGAACATAAAGCATTCGACAGACCTTTTAGGTATTTAGTAAAGCCAGCATTTAACTTTACTTTACTTACTATTTGGTCTGACTGTACCAATTACCCGGCTAATCATACCATCTGCCTTCGACATAGAAACATATTTTAGCGATAGAAGTAACTAAACTAGCCAATGCTATGTACAGGTCTGTCTCTCCGGCGAAGAAGATAAAAGACTTTGATGTTCATTGGTGAATATTTAGTCTTTTTTAAAAATGTGCTTTTTCAATTACACTAGCACTAATTGTTATAGTTGCAAATAATTGTTGTGCAATAGTAGTACTTATTGTAACCACGTAAAGATTAATTTTGCTTGTTGATGTTATAAATTAACATGTATCATCTTAACAAATAGAAAGTTTTTACAAATTTTTATGTTATTTGCATTATATTTTTCTATTTTAATATTTCTCCGAGACGGATATTCAGATACGGCTACTAATTTGTGATTTAGACTAATACAATCAGATTAAGGTGAGTGTTACTTTTGTTAGTGAAAAAATTTACTACCATCGCAGATCCTTTTAACAAGGGTTATATGGAAAAACAGCTAAATGTGTTTTTTTTTTTCAAAATCAACTTATTTTGACATTGAAATAAATATACTAAAGCCCGCTTTTCACTATGGGATATAATATAATATTGTTACGCGCCACTATTAATGTCTTGTACATGGCAACACTAGTTACACTAGCGCCCCCTAGTGTCGAGTAAATGAAAGTATTGCGCGCCACTATTAATGTCTTGTACATGGCAACACTAGTCACACTAGCGCCCTCTAGTGTCGAGTAGCAGAACTAGGAGAGTCGAGATCCTTCCAGAAATTTCGGGACCGATATGTACTCGAACATTCTAGATGTCGCTACAGTGGAAGGTTCTGGAAACTGTCTGAGGCCCTATATAAGGCCGGTATGGACCACGACCAAGGCAGTATTGAATTGGCGATACAAGAGAATACTTCGAAGCGAAATAACGGCGAACTGTGTTTTATTATTAGTGTGATTTTAGATTGTAATTAGTGTTGTGTAATTAAAGTGTCAATTTTGGTAATTCAATCGGCAGTTTTTAATTGTTTCGAACCCCAAGCTCGTAACAATTGGTGTCAGAAGTGGGATCAAATATGCCGATTTTACCTAAAGACGACACGGAGGGTATCCGTACCCGAAGTCAACGCCAACAGGAGACGGACCAGAGACAATTTGGTAATGCAACGCCGCAAACGTCGGATGGGCAGCTGCTAACCACGGAGGCCGGCCCGTCAGCAGCTCCTGCATCTGCAGCACCTGACTTAGGTGCTCTGATGATGATGCTGCAGGATCAGGCTCGCCGACAGGAGGAACAGGCCCGCCGACAGGAGGAACAGGCCCGCCGACAGGAGGAACAGACCCGTCGGCTGGAAGAGCAGCTGCAGCGCGGTATGGAAGAACAGATGCTTCTCAGGAAGGACCTTCACGCTACCTTCGGGAAAGAGATAAAGGAGGTGAAGGATAGGGTTGCTCAACATGACAACCGCCTGTCGGAAGCTGAAACCCGAATCGACCAAGTGAACAATCGGGTTGACAACTTCATGGCTGATGTGAAGAAAACGCTGGACGACCTCAAACTTGGGGATGGAGTTACAGCTCCCGTGGTAGCTACAACACCTTCGCTACGTGGATTCAAAGTGCCACAGTTCGACGGGACTTCTTCCTGGTCGGCCTATAAAATCCAGTTCGAGGCTGTCATGAAAGCGAACGGCTGGAATAAAAGTCAGGCCATGACTGCTCTCACCCTAGGCCTGCGCGACCAGGCATTAACTGTTCTGGAAGCTCTCGGTAAGGAAGTGACTAACGAGCAGCTCCTTGAGGCATTGGAGGCGAGATATGGCGACGCTCACCTGGAACACGTCTTTCGTGCGCAGCTCAAAGATCGCGTGCAACGCAGTAACGAAAACCTGCAGCAGTGGGCCCTTGAGGTGGAGAAGCTGGTTCGAAAAGCGTACCAGTCTGTACCTGCGCTTATTGTAGGGAACCTGGTGCAGACATTCATCGACGGCATCCGCGACCTTGAAGTCAGAGCTGCTGTGAGGCTCGGGCACCACGAGACGCTTAAGGACGCCTTGACCCATGCACTGGAGGTGGAAGCCGTGCGGCAGGATCATCGTTCCCACCGCGTCAGGGAGGTTGCAGCAGCTAAAGTTCAGGACCGCAATAAAAGCTACAGCCCTAGGTGCTACGACTGTGGAGAAAGGGGCCATCTTCGATCCAGCTGCCCTAAGCGAACTGTAAAAAGGGAAGGTGATCGATCTCGAGAGGGTAGTGCGGATAATAGCACCGCCCAGCAGCAGCAGGGAAACTGGCGGGTGCTGGCTGATGTTAAAAGAGCCCCAAGGATTTCGATCTCACAAACTCATGATGGGAACAGCCTAATCATCAAGGGCGAAGTCAACGGAACGCCATGTAAACTGACCATAGACACTGGAGCCTCTCGCACGGTTGTCAGTTCCCAACTTATATGTCGGTTCCTTGGTGACTCCGCATACAACCGAGAACGCATTAATTTGGTGACAGCCACTGGTCAGCGCATACATGTCCGTGGAGAGAAGGAGATGGAGTTGAAGCTAGGCAACATGATCTACCTGCATAATGTCATCGTGGCTGATATAATGGACGACTGCATCCTGGGCCTAGACTTTATGAGGAAGAATTGTTGTGAGATCGACGTTAAGCAAGGTGTTTTGAAATGTGGACAAGAAGAACTTTTCCTGGAAGGGGCGTTACCAGGGAATGTGTACAGCCTTAAGAAGATTGTTCTTCCGCCGAGATCGGAAACGATTGTGCCGGTTAGTCTTCCTCGGAGTCCTGGGCAAGCTCATCGTTGTGTACTCGTGGAAAGGGTAGACAATGACCTTCCATGGAAAGTGGCTCGAACCTTGGTCAGAACCACCGATATCTCAGGAGTACGTGTGTTGAACCTTTGTGATCAGGAACAGATTATAGAAAAAGGCACATTGGTTGGTACTAGTGAGGAAGTGGATTGGTTGCGTCGATGCGAATATCTATCGACCGGGACCCCCAGCAAGGATGGACAAACGATAGTGACCACACTTTTAGAAGACTGTCGCAGCGTTCTTTCCCCGAATGAAATGGTCAAGGCGAAGAAGTTGTTACTCAAGTACGCCAATGTTTTCTCGTCAAACGAAGCTGACATAGGAAAGACTGGCTTAGTTCAACACAAAATAAACACAGGACAAGAATTGCCTATTCGTCAGCGGCCAAGAAGATTGCCTGTAGCACGTGAAAAGGAAGTGGAAACCATGATTGAGGGAATGGTGAAGGATGGTGTTATTGAACCTTCATCTAGTCCATGGTGTTCACCTGTGGTGCTGGTAAAGAAGAAGGACGGCAGCATGCGGTTTTGTGTTGACTATCGCCGCCTGAACGACGTTACAAAGAAGGACAGCTATCCCTTGCCAAGAATTGATGACACGCTGGACATGCTTACAGGCGTAAAGTGGTTTAGTACGCTAGATCTGAAAAGTGGCTACTGGCAGGTTGAAATTGACCCTAAGGACAAGGAGAAAACTGCATTCTCCTGTAGTGTTGGGTGGTCCGGGGAATAAATAAAACGTCCAATAGTCTAGACGGTAGGTTTAATACTAACTCTCTCTTATTCTATCCTACATATATATAAGCACACACTACACGCCCATCGGCAAAAAGAAAAAAAAATCATTTACAAAAATATTTTTTTTTTTTTAAATGTAACATAACTTGGTCTTTCTTGACTTCAGAACGACACATTTTTTTTTTTTTTAAACGCGGCCCGCGACCGAACCCAGGCCGACCGCCGATGAACTGGCAGGGTCGCCATGTAGTGTTGGGTGGTTCGGGGAATAAATAAAACGTCCAATAGTCTAGACGGTAGGTTTAATACTAACTCTCTCTTATTCTATCCTACATATATATAAGCACACACTACACTCCACAGGAAAGGGTCTGTGGCAATTCAAAGTCATGCCGTTTGGATTGTGCAATGCTCCAGCAACGTTTGAAAGGTTGATGGAGCTTGTACTTACCGGGCTAATTGGAGATGCTTGTCTGGTCTATTTGGATGACATCATCATCGTAGGCCGTACGTTTGAGGAACACCTTCAAAACCTGGAACGCGTGCTCATGAAGATCCAGAGTGCCAACCTCAAGTTGAGTCCAAAGAAGTGCTCACTATTCAAACGGCAAGTTAGTTTTTTGGGGTATGTAGTGTCGGAAGAAGGTATCCGCACGGATCCAGAGAAAATTGCTGCTGTCAAGGAGTGGCCGGTCCCAAAAGACAAGACACAGGTTGGAGCATTTTTGGGTTTGTGCTCTTATTATCGGCGATTTGTGAAGAACTTTGCAGATATAGCCAAACCTCTGCACAAGCTAACCGAGGAGAAGCGACAATTCTGCTGGGATGAAAGTTGCGATATTGCATTCCAGGAGCTCAAGAACCGCCTGTGCAAAACACCTATTTTGGGGTACCCTGATGCGGGCAAGGAATTCATAGTTGACACAGACGCAAGTGATATAGGACTTGGCGGTGTGTTGTCTCAACGGAATGGTGATCAAGAGATTGTGATAGCGTACTTCAGCAAGTCGTTGTCAAAGCCGGAAAGGAACTATTGTGTCACAAGACGGGAATTGCTTGCTGTGGTAAAGTCCTTGCAGCATTTTAGCAAATATCTTCTAGGGCGGAAATTCCACTTACGAACTGACCATGCTGCACTGAAATGGCTATTGCAGTTCAAAAATCCGGAAGGACAAGTTGCGAGATGGATAGAACTACTGCAGGAATACGACTTTGTGATCGAACATCGCAGCGGGAAATCTCATGGCAATGCAGATGCATTGTCAAGAAGACCTTGCCCTGAAGATTGCAAGCATTGTACTAGGCAAGAGGGTAAGGAAGTGGTATCTGTGAGAATGCTCAGGACAGACCAGCTCAGCAATGAGTGGAAGGACAGCCTACAACATGCACAGCAGGAAGATTCGGACATTAAGCCGATTCTGGAATGGATGAAGGCCAGTGCTCCTAAGCCCAAGTGGAGCGACGTCTCAGCAATGAGTTCGACCACGAAAAGCTATTGGGCCCAATGGGACAGCTTGCTGATTCAGGATGGAGTCCTGTGCCGTAAATGGGAAAATGGTCGGGGAGACAGGTGTCATTTGCAAATGGTTGTCCCTAAGGCTAAAGTGCCGGATATTCTACAGCTGTACCATAGTGGTTGTTCAGGAGGCCACCTGGGAGTTAAACGAACTCTCCTGAAGATCCGAGAACGGTTTTACTGGGTCCACTGTCGTGACGATGTCGAGGACTGGTGCCGCAAATGTACAAGTTGTGCGGCTGTAAAGGGACCTCAAATTCGTAGTAGAGGCGCATTGAAATTGTACAATGTTGGTGCACCATGGGAGAGGATAGCCATTGACGTTGCGGGGCCGTTTCCAGAAACTGAAAGTGGTAACAAGTATTTCATGGTAGTGATGGATTACTTCACTAAGTGGCCAGAAGTCTTCGCCATTCCAAATCAAGAAGCTTCAACAGTTGCAGATAAACTAGTTCATGAAGTCTTCTGTCGTTTTGGAGTACCTTTAGAGATTCACAGCGATCAAGGAAGGAATTTTGAGTCTCAAATATTCCAGGAAACTTGCCGAGTTATGGGTACTCAGAAAACACGAACAACTTCTTACCACCCACAATCTGATGGAATGGTAGAAAGATTTAATCAGACATTGGAGAGGTACCTAGCAAACGTTGTGGAAAAACGGCAACGAGACTGGGACAGGCACATACAACCGTTTTTGTTGTCATATCGAAGCGCTGTTCACGAAAGTACATCAGTGACACCAGCTTTCGCAAACTTTGGGAGAGAATTGCGGCTGCCTGCAGACCTGATCACCGGAATACCACCTGATGCCCCACGCAGTATAACCGATTATGCAAATGACTTGCGGAACAAAATGAATGACATTTATGAGCACGTCAGACAGACGGGCCAGCAAACGTCTGAGAAGATGAAAACACGGTATGACCGCAAAATGAACAACAAGGGCTTTGATGAAGGTTCACTAGTGTGGTTACACAATCCAGTTCGCAGCAAAGGGAAATCTCCTAAGCTTCAAGCTAAATGGGACGGACCGTACCGGATTGTGACAAGGATCAATGATGTAACCTACCGGATACAGAAAGGTGCCAGAGGTACTCCTAAGATTGTCCATGTGGATCGACTGGCGCGTTATTATGGGACAATAATGCTCGGGACGAGCATGTCTTAGGAGGGGGCAGTGTTACGCGCCACTATTAATGTCTTGTACATGGCAACACTAGTTACACTAGCGCCCCCTAGTGTCGAGTAAATGAAAGTATTGCGCGCCACTATTAATGTCTTGTACATGGCAACACTAGTCACACTAGCGCCCTCTAGTGTCGAGTAGCAGAACTAGGAGAGTCGAGATCCTTCCAGAAATTTCGGGACCGATATGTACTCGAACATTCTAGATGTCGCTACAGTGGAAGGTTATGGAAACTGTCTGAGGCCCTATATAAGGCCGGTATGGACCACGACCAAGGCAGTATTGAATTGGCGATACAAGAGAATACTTCGAAGCGAAATAACGGCGAACTGTGTTTTATTATTAGTGTGATTTTAGATTGTAATTAGTGTTGTGTAATTAAAGTGTCAATTTTGGTAATTCAATCGGCAGTTTTTAATTGTTTCGAACCCCAAGCTCGTAACAATATATATTACATCTCGAGATATAAATTAATATCGCTCACCATACATTTCATATGGAACCGTTTACACTGAGCTATAATATATATTACATCTCAAGCTATAAATATTTTTTCGATCGACCGTGCGATATTTTCATATTATATTTCGCCCCCTGTACTCCGTCGCGGGATATAATTTATATTTCGGGATATAATATATATTACATATCATAGTGAAAAGCCAGCCTAAACCTGTGTGAAAATTATTTTGAAGTTTGTTATTTATATACAGTCTTATTCTTCTTTTGTGTAAATGCCTCCATCTCAATCTCTTCTCTGCAAATTCTCTCTTCTCTTTTTCTCTCTCTTTCTCTTTAATTCTGCCAATGTCAAGATTGAAAAGGTAGCTACAAAAGGAATTAAAAATCAAAACGAGTTTACACTGAACCTTCAAAACTGATCTATGGGATATTAGCTGTTGTATACCAGCCGGTTTTGTACACCCCAAGTTGCCAGGCCTAACTAACTTCAAATCAATACTTTTTTTTACTGTTCTGATTACCTATCTAGATATCTATGAAGTTGTCACTCTACTATGTTAGTATAAGAAAATGACCGACTAGTGTAGCCTTAAAAAGCCGTATTCGTTTGTACACACTACAAAATGAATACAGTATTTTCTCACTGTGATTGCAGGACGCAGCATCCTCGATCGCTAAATCAGCAGGACCGCTCCAACTCCGCACCTAATGTGTGCATCAACATGGTGCAGCGACCCATGACCCTGGCCGAACACCAGAGGAAAAATAATCAGGTTAGTACAATTACAATTGATTCAAATCCTGACATTTATGAATACCAGCTAAAAATAACAGCTTAATGCTACTGTTTTTGATATGTTGAGTGTAGAGAATAAGAGACGCTTTTTACTGGAAACGATCCATTCCTGTGTAACAACACTTCTATATTTCGATTCTTAATCGAGAATGGATGTAGGAATCTATGGACCACAGCATCAACTTTCCATCAGGTGGACTATGTGCTCGCTTGTCACCCTTATTGTATAAAAAAATTGTATGTGCTTTACTTTGTTAGCTAGAGTTAGAGAGGAGTTATAGAGTTTTTTCATGACGGATTTTTCATTAATATCCAAGATTAGCGAATACAAAGAAAGAAACTAAACATCTTTGCCCGTAGAATGAAAAGGGGAGATCTCCCACCGGGTGTTCAGCCCGGGGAGTGGCCAAAGCTCCGTGTGTTAGTACAAAGCTGTTCTATATATATCGCAATACTTTGGAACTTTGATCACACATCTTTGGAGATATTCCCCATCAACAATCGAGGAAGCATTTGGAAAGCGATTAACTATCATTCTCTCTTTATTCCACCCATTACTTTCAAGAAAGAGGTCTGATGTTCAATTGTTGCATTTTAATTTGCTATTATGTTAATATTATATAATTGTAATTGTCCAGTGCAACAATTCTCCGCAGTCCACCAAGTACCTGACATCCGGCAAACACAACAAGGAAGATAAGGACAAGGGAGGAGATCAACAGCACAGTCAAAGCACACAAGTAATTAATTATATTTACTTTTTATTAGCTGTGTAGTGGCGTTTAAGAGTACCAACTACCCCATATCTTCCCGTGGGTGTTGTAAGAGGCGACAGTGGGAAACAGGCAGGAGATGGGCAGCTGCTTCTTCCTGATAACAGCAATATCACAATAAAAAACTGCGGTTGCCAACCCGCTCGCCAAGCGTGGCAACTATGGCAATATATCCGCCAAAGGTCAGGTTACAAAGCATTTCCTGTTATTTTTTTTTCTTTATTTTGCAATTACTCAAATTCATTTTATTCGTTTGCGATATATGGGTTACAATAGGTATTTAACAAAAATTCAGCCATATTCTACCTTCCGGTGTGCAAACTAATTAAATATATGATTTTTTAATAATTAAAATGAAAAATTCTGATAATTACATTAACATAATATAATCCTATTTTTATTTTTGCGCTACTAACAATTTAATTTTTTTGGCCGTGTAGTGGCGGTTAAGAATATCCACTACCCCATATCTTCGCGTGGGTGCCGTAAAAGGCGACAAAGGGAAACAGGCAGGAGATGGGCAGCAGCATCTTCCTGGTAACGGCAAAAATAGAATAAAAAACTGCGGTTGCCAACCCGCTCGCCAAGCGTGGCAACTATGGCAATATACTCCCCATGATGAAAGTTACGAAGAGACGGCCCCCAGTCCCCGGCGGCCCCGCTATTCCTGGCTACGGTGTCGACCATGGTAACGGCGAGGCAGGGGGTGCTAAGAATCTCCGGTGGAGGTTCGGTTGCCACCTACGACGGCTCGACCTGGCAACATACAACGCACGCACCCTGAGGACTGACGAGAAGATTGTGGAGCTGGAAGAAGAGATAGACAAGTTACGCTGGCATATTATAGGATTATCCGAATCCCGAAGAGAGGGGGAGGACACGGTAATCCTCGAATCCGGCAACTTGCTCTATTACCGGGAGGGCGACCATCTGTCCCAAGGAGGTGTCGGATTTATCGTCCACAAGTCTCTCGTTAACAACGTTATAAAGATTGAGAGTGTGTCGACGAGGGTTGCGTACCTTATACTCAGAATCACCAAACGGTATTCGCTGAAGGTCATACAGGTTTACGCACCAACCTCGGCACACCCCGATCAGGAGGTGGAGGAAATGTATGAGGATATCTCTAGAGCCATGCATTCCTCCAAAACCCAGTATATAGTGTTAATGGGAGACTTCAATGCAAAACTAGGCACAAGAGAGAACGGTGAGCTGAAAGTGAGGAAATTTGGAATAGGGCAACGGAACCCAAGGGGCCAGCAGCTGGCCGACTTCATGGAGAAAGAGGGACTCTTTATGATGAACTCTTTCTTCCAGAAGCGGCCCCACAGGAAGTGGACCTGGTCGAGCCCCGACGGTTCGACAAAAAATGAGATTGACTTCATTATGACGACCAGACGACAACTGTTCAGTGATGTCTCAGTGATCGCGAGGGTGAAAACCGGCAGCGATCACCGAATGGTTGGAGGCACACTGAACCTAAACGTTAAGTTGGGGAGGTCTCGTCTAATGAAGTCAACGCTCCGTCCCCCTCGTGCTCTAATCCAAAGTCCCGAAACCTTTCAGCTCGAGTTACAAAACCGTTTTCAGTGCCTAGAAGACTGCAATGAAGTGGACGATTTGAATGACAAGCTCGTGGAAACTGTCCATGCGGTCGGAGCTAAGTTCTGCAAGACCCGCCGCAGAAAAACACAAAACTCTCCGATCACACTCTCAATCTCATGGCTGTTAGACGGGAGATGAAGCTACATTCTTCAACAGATTTGACAGCATACAGGCAACTGAACAGACAGATCTCCAAATGCATGCGGCGGGATTTACGCAACTTTAATACAGCTCGTATTGAAGAAGCGATCGAGCGGAACCAAGGCTCCAAAGTCTTTGCCAGAGATCTGTCTGCCAGAAAGAGCCAACTGTCAAAGCTGAAGACCGAATGTGGCAGCATCGTTTCCGGGGCACCTGAGATTTTGAGTGAGATTGAGAGGTTCTATGGGCAGCTGTACACATCATCGTTGGAGCCGCACGCAAGTGTGAGTAACGATCCAAGAGCGAGTCTTATCCGACATTATTCCGATGATATCCCGGACGTCAGTCTGAGCGAGATTAGAATGGCTCTCCAGCACCTTAAAAACGGCAAGGCCCCAGGCGAGGATGGAATTACAGCGGAGCTTCTGAAAGCGGGTGGAAAACCGGTACTTGAAGTCCTTCAGAAGCTCTTTAATTCCGTCCTTCATGGTGGCATTACACCGGAGGCGGGGAGCAGAAGTGCGGTGGTCTTGTTCTTTAAGAAAGGCGACAATGCTCTCTTGAAGAACTACAGACCGATTTCCCTTCTGAGCCGCGTCTACGTGCTGTTTTCGAGAGTCATTACGAATCGTCTCGCGCGCAGACTTGACGACTTCCAGCATCTCGAACAAGCCGGTTTCCGAAAAGGCTTTAGCACCATAGACCACATACATACCCTTCGGCAAATTGTACGGAAGTCCGAGGAGTACAATTTGCCACTATGTCTGGCGTATGTGGACTATGAGAAAGCCTTTGATTCCGTCGAAATTTGGGCGGTGCTGCAGTCCCTTCAGCGATGCCAAGTTGACTGTCGGTATATCGAAGTGTTGAAGTGCTTGAACAGTAGGGCTACGATGGCTATCCGAGTACAGAACCAGAGTACGAAACCTATCCAATTGCAGAGAGGTGTAAGACAGGGTGACGTCATATCCCCGAAACTCTTTACCGCTGCATTGGAAGATGTTTTCAAGCTTCTGGACTGGAAAGGATACGGTATCAACATCAATGGCGAGTACATCACTCACCTTCGATTTGCCGACGATATAGTCCTTATGGCAGAATCGCTGGAGGACCTAAGCACTATGCTCAATGACCTCAATAGTGTTTCCAACGGATAGGTCTTAAGATGAACATGGACAAAACAAAGATCATGTTTAATGTCCATGTCACACCTATGCCGGTAGTTGTTGGGAACACTAAGCTCAAAGTTGTTGACGAGTATGTTTACCTGGGACAAATAGTCCGACTAGGTAAGTCCAACTTCGACCGAGAGGTCAATCGACGGATTCAACTCGGTTGGGCAGCGTTCGGGAAATTACGGCACATCTTCTCGTCAGGTATACCTCAAAACATGAAAACGAGACTGTTCTCCCAGTGCGTGTTGCCAGTGATGACATACGGAACTGAGACGTGGTCCTTCACTGCTGGCCGGATGAGGAAGCTCAAGGTCGCTCAGCGAGCTATGGAGAGGGCTATGCTCGGAATTCCTCTGCGTGATAAACTCAGAAATGAGGATATCCGCAGTAGAACCAGAGTGACCGACATAGCCCAACGGATTAGTAAGCTGAAGTGGCAATGGGCCGGCCATATAGCTCGAAGAACCGACAACCGATGGGGAAGAAAGGTTCTCGAGTGGCAGCCTCGTACCGGCAGTCGAAGTGTAGGGCTTCCCCCCCACTAGATGGATTGACGACCTGGTAAGATATGCAGGAAGTCGATGGATGCAGGTGGCTCAGGAACGTGCTTTGTGGCATTCTTTGGGCGAGGCCTATGTTCAGCAGTGGACTTGTGAAGAGCTGTAATGATGATGATGATGATGATGAACAATTTAATAATTCACTAAATAATAATATAGCAAATTTAATATAACAAATAATATATATATAATAACTGCAAGGTATCCAGGAGCTGAAGTGGCCAATTACCATTAGGTTAATTATGAGCTTCTTTGTTAACTGATAAAAGTGTGTATAAGTTAATGTGTCCGGGTGTGGTGCTTGTGGCTTATTCTTCCAATTACGTAAAAAAGTTTAGAAAACACCTTGTCTTTATATATTCCGCGTGCTCAGTCCCTTTTTTTCCTTCAAAAATCTCAAAGTTTATTATTCGGAGCTCTAAAATTTCCCATCATACTTCCCGTACTTAATTGTATGTATCATATCTAACATCTTGTGTTTTTATATTTATTTATTTATTTCTTTTACTTAATTTTGTAATTTATGTACACCTTCCCTATTCGCCATTCGTTGTAAACAACAGTTCTTTGTGCAAAAACGTTCTCTGGAAGATATCGCTTCCAGAGCGATAAGACCACCTCTTGTACTTTTTTTTATAATTTCTTTAACTTTGTTTTCGTTTTAATATGTATTGTTGTACAATAAAGAAAGTATATATTGATTGATTGATTGATTAAAGCCTGTCTATTGTGCGTATAATTGTGTACACACGTACGAAGTGAAACTTCTTTACTACATATCATTCTTGTTTTTATGTAATATTTTACATAAGAAGGTTAAATAATGTATACTCAAGCAGCCCCGGCAGTGAAACTACAATAAAACGTGACGTTTATTTTAGTTTACCCGTGTTATAATACCGTAATAAATTTCTCCACTACATTGATAAAGAAGTTTCACTTCAATTAAGGTTAAACTAATGTAATATAATGGTGAAGGCGTCGCCGACGGGAACACTGCGGCCGCGGAGAGCTCGCGCGCGCTCCGCCGACGAGTCGTGGAAGCACGCGCTGTCGCCGCGCGAGAGCTACGACGACTGGGTCATACACGCCGACGAGATACTCATCGGACCGCGCATCGGTACGCTCGCACACCACACCACCTCGCACGAACCTCACTACACCCCACCTCACACAAACCTCCGCTACGACGACTGGGTCATACACGCCGACGAGATACTCATCGGACCGCGCATCGGTACGCTCGCACACCACACCACCTCGCACGAACCTCACTACACCCCACCTCACACAAACCTCCGCTACGACGACTGGGTCATACACGCCGACGAGATACTCATCGGACCGCGCATCGGTACGCTCGCACACCACACCACCTCGCACGAACCTCACTACACCCCACCTCACACAAACCTCCGCTACGACGACTGGGTCATACACGCCGACGAGATACTCATCGGACCGCGCATCGGTACGCTCGCACACCACACCACCTCGCACGAACCTCACTACACCCCACCTCACACAAACCTCCGCTACGACGACTGGGTCATACACGCCGACGAGATACTCATCGGACCGCGCATCGGTACGCTCGCACACCACACCACCTCGCACGAACCTCACTACACCCCACCTCACACAAACCTCCGCTACGACGACTGGGTCATACACGCCGACGAGATACTCATCGGACCGCGCATCGGTACGCTCGCACACCACACCACCTCGCACGAACCTCACTACACCCCACCTCACACAAACCTCCGCTACGACGACTGGGTCATACACGCCGACGAGATACTCATCGGACCGCGCATCGGTACGCTCGCACACCACACCACCTCGCACGAACCTCACTACACCCCACCTCACACAAACCTCCGCTACGACGACTGGGTCATACACGCCGACGAGATACTCATCGGACCGCGCATCGGTACGCTCGCACACCACACCACCTCGCACGAACCTCACTACACCCCACCTCACACAAACCTCCGCTACGACGACTGGGTCATACACGCCGACGAGATACTCATCGGACCGCGCATCGGTACGCTCGCACACCACACCACCTCGCACGAACCTCACTACACCCCACCTCACACAAACCTCCGCTACGACGACTGGGTCATACACGCCGACGAGATACTCATCGGACCGCGCATCGGTACGCTCGCACACCACACCACCTCGCACGAACCTCACTACACCCCACCTCACACAAACCTCCGCTACGACGACTGGGTCATACACGCCGACGAGATACTCATCGGACCGCGCATCGGTACGCTCGCACACCACACCACCTCGCACGAACCTCACTACACCCCACCTCACACAAACCTCCGCTACGACGACTGGGTCATACACGCCGACGAGATACTCATCGGACCGCGCATCGGTACGCTCGCACACCACACCACCTCGCACGAACCTCACTACACCCCACCTCACACAAACCTCCGCTACGACGACTGGGTCATACACGCCGACGAGATACTCATCGGACCGCGCATCGGTACGCTCGCACACCACACCACCTCGCACGAACCTCACTACACCCCACCTCACACAAACCTCCGCTACGACGACTGGGTCATACACGCCGACGAGATACTCATCGGACCGCGCATCGGTACGCTCGCACACCACACCACCTCGCACGAACCTCACTACACCCCACCTCACACAAACCTCCGCTACGACGACTGGGTCATACACGCCGACGAGATACTCATCGGACCGCGCATCGGTACGCTCGCACACCACACCACCTCGCACGAACCTCACTACACCCCACCTCACACAAACCTCCGCTACGACGACTGGGTCATACACGCCGACGAGATACTCATCGGACCGCGCATCGGTACGCTCGCACACCACACCACCTCGCACGAACCTCACTACACCCCACCTCACACAAACCTCCGCTACGACGACTGGGTCATACACGCCGACGAGATACTCATCGGACCGCGCATCGGTACGCTCGCACACCACACCACCTCGCACGAACCTCACTACACCCCACCTCACACAAACCTCCGCTACGACGACTGGGTCATACACGCCGACGAGATACTCATCGGACCGCGCATCGGTACGCTCGCACACCACACCACCTCGCACGAACCTCACTACACCCCACCTCACACAAACCTCCGCTACGACGACTGGGTCATACACGCCGACGAGATACTCATCGGACCGCGCATCGGTACGCTCGCACACCACACCACCTCGCACGAACCTCACTACACCCCACCTCACACAAACCTCCGCTACGACGACTGGGTCATACACGCCGACGAGATACTCATCGGACCGCGCATCGGTACGCTCGCACACCACACCACCTCGCACGAACCTCACTACACCCCACCTCACACAAACCTCCGCTACGACGACTGGGTCATACACGCCGACGAGATACTCATCGGACCGCGCATCGGTACGCTCGCACACCACACCACCTCGCACGAACCTCACTACACCCCACCTCACACAAACCTCCGCTACGACGACTGGGTCATACACGCCGACGAGATACTCATCGGACCGCGCATCGGTACGCTCGCACACCACACCACCTCGCACGAACCTCACTACACCCCACCTCACACAAACCTCCGCTACGACGACTGGGTCATACACGCCGACGAGATACTCATCGGACCGCGCATCGGTACGCTCGCACACCACACCACCTCGCACGAACCTCACTACACCCCACCTCACACAAACCTCCGCTACGACGACTGGGTCATACACGCCGACGAGATACTCATCGGACCGCGCATCGGTACGCTCGCACACCACACCACCTCGCACGAACCTCACTACACCCCACCTCACACAAACCTCCGCTACGACGACTGGGTCATACACGCCGACGAGATACTCATCGGACCGCGCATCGGTACGCTCGCACACCACACCACCTCGCACGAACCTCACTACACCCCACCTCACACAAACCTCCGCTACGACGACTGGGTCATACACGCCGACGAGATACTCATCGGACCGCGCATCGGTACGCTCGCACACCACACCACCTCGCACGAACCTCACTACACCCCACCTCACACAAACCTCCGCTACGACGACTGGGTCATACACGCCGACGAGATACTCATCGGACCGCGCATCGGTACGCTCGCACACCACACCACCTCGCACGAACCTCACTACACCCCACCTCACACAAACCTCCGCTACGACGACTGGGTCATACACGCCGACGAGATACTCATCGGACCGCGCATCGGTACGCTCGCACACCACACCACCTCGCACGAACCTCACTACACCCCACCTCACACAAACCTCCGCTACGACGACTGGGTCATACACGCCGACGAGATACTCATCGGACCGCGCATCGGTACGCTCGCACACCACACCACCTCGCACGAACCTCACTACACCCCACCTCACACAAACCTCCGCTACGACGACTGGGTCATACACGCCGACGAGATACTCATCGGACCGCGCATCGGTACGCTCGCACACCACACCACCTCGCACGAACCTCACTACACCCCACCTCACACAAACCTCCGCTACGACGACTGGGTCATACACGCCGACGAGATACTCATCGGACCGCGCATCGGTACGCTCGCACACCACACCACCTCGCACGAACCTCACTACACCCCACCTCACACAAACCTCCGCTACGACGACTGGGTCATACACGCCGACGAGATACTCATCGGACCGCGCATCGGTACGCTCGCACACCACACCACCTCGCACGAACCTCACTACACCCCACCTCACACAAACCTCCGCTACGACGACTGGGTCATACACGCCGACGAGATACTCATCGGACCGCGCATCGGTACGCTCGCACACCACACCACCTCGCACGAACCTCACTACACCCCACCTCACACAAACCTCCGCTACGACGACTGGGTCATACACGCCGACGAGATACTCATCGGACCGCGCATCGGTACGCTCGCACACCACACCACCTCGCACGAACCTCACTACACCCCACCTCACACAAACCTCCGCTACGACGACTGGGTCATACACGCCGACGAGATACTCATCGGACCGCGCATCGGTACGCTCGCACACCACACCACCTCGCACGAACCTCACTACACCCCACCTCACACAAACCTCCGCTACGACGACTGGGTCATACACGCCGACGAGATACTCATCGGACCGCGCATCGGTACGCTCGCACACCACACCACCTCGCACGAACCTCACTACACCCCACCTCACACAAACCTCCGCTACGACGACTGGGTCATACACGCCGACGAGATACTCATCGGACCGCGCATCGGTACGCTCGCACACCACACCACCTCGCACGAACCTCACTACACCCCACCTCACACAAACCTCCGCTACGACGACTGGGTCATACACGCCGACGAGATACTCATCGGACCGCGCATCGGTACGCTCGCACACCACACCACCTCGCACGAACCTCACTACACCCCACCTCACACAAACCTCCGCTACGACGACTGGGTCATACACGCCGACGAGATACTCATCGGACCGCGCATCGGTACGCTCGCACACCACACCACCTCGCACGAACCTCACTACACCCCACCTCACACAAACCTCCGCTACGACGACTGGGTCATACACGCCGACGAGATACTCATCGGACCGCGCATCGGTACGCTCGCACACCACACCACCTCGCACGAACCTCACTACACCCCACCTCACACAAACCTCCGCTACGACGACTGGGTCATACACGCCGACGAGATACTCATCGGACCGCGCATCGGTACGCTCGCACACCACACCACCTCGCACGAACCTCACTACACCCCACCTCACACAAACCTCCGCTACGACGACTGGGTCATACACGCCGACGAGATACTCATCGGACCGCGCATCGGTACGCTCGCACACCACACCACCTCGCACGAACCTCACTACACCCCACCTCACACAAACCTCCGCTACGACGACTGGGTCATACACGCCGACGAGATACTCATCGGACCGCGCATCGGTACGCTCGCACACCACACCACCTCGCACGAACCTCACTACACCCCACCTCACACAAACCTCCGCTACGACGACTGGGTCATACACGCCGACGAGATACTCATCGGACCGCGCATCGGTACGCTCGCACACCACACCACCTCGCACGAACCTCACTACACCCCACCTCACACAAACCTCCGCTACGACGACTGGGTCATACACGCCGACGAGATACTCATCGGACCGCGCATCGGTACGCTCGCACACCACACCACCTCGCACGAACCTCACTACACCCCACCTCACACAAACCTCCGCTACGACGACTGGGTCATACACGCCGACGAGATACTCATCGGACCGCGCATCGGTACGCTCGCACACCACACCACCTCGCACGAACCTCACTACACCCCACCTCACACAAACCTCCGCTACGACGACTGGGTCATACACGCCGACGAGATACTCATCGGACCGCGCATCGGTACGCTCGCACACCACACCACCTCGCACGAACCTCACTACACCCCACCTCACACAAACCTCCGCTACGACGACTGGGTCATACACGCCGACGAGATACTCATCGGACCGCGCATCGGTACGCTCGCACACCACACCACCTCGCACGAACCTCACTACACCCCACCTCACACAAACCTCCGCTACGACGACTGGGTCATACACGCCGACGAGATACTCATCGGACCGCGCATCGGTACGCTCGCACACCACACCACCTCGCACGAACCTCACTACACCCCACCTCACACAAACCTCCGCTACGACGACTGGGTCATACACGCCGACGAGATACTCATCGGACCGCGCATCGGTACGCTCGCACACCACACCACCTCGCACGAACCTCACTACACCCCACCTCACACAAACCTCCGCTACGACGACTGGGTCATACACGCCGACGAGATACTCATCGGACCGCGCATCGGTACGCTCGCACACCACACCACCTCGCACGAACCTCACTACACCCCACCTCACACAAACCTCCGCTACGACGACTGGGTCATACACGCCGACGAGATACTCATCGGACCGCGCATCGGTACGCTCGCACACCACACCACCTCGCACGAACCTCACTACACCCCACCTCACACAAACCTCCGCTACGACGACTGGGTCATACACGCCGACGAGATACTCATCGGACCGCGCATCGGTACGCTCGCACACCACACCACCTCGCACGAACCTCACTACACCCCACCTCACACAAACCTCCGCTACGACGACTGGGTCATACACGCCGACGAGATACTCATCGGACCGCGCATCGGTACGCTCGCACACCACACCACCTCGCACGAACCTCACTACACCCCACCTCACACAAACCTCCGCTACGACGACTGGGTCATACACGCCGACGAGATACTCATCGGACCGCGCATCGGTACGCTCGCACACCACACCACCTCGCACGAACCTCACTACACCCCACCTCACACAAACCTCCGCTACGACGACTGGGTCATACACGCCGACGAGATACTCATCGGACCGCGCATCGGTACGCTCGCACACCACACCACCTCGCACGAACCTCACTACACCCCACCTCACACAAACCTCCGCTACGACGACTGGGTCATACACGCCGACGAGATACTCATCGGACCGCGCATCGGTACGCTCGCACACCACACCACCTCGCACGAACCTCACTACACCCCACCTCACACAAACCTCCGCTACGACGACTGGGTCATACACGCCGACGAGATACTCATCGGACCGCGCATCGGTACGCTCGCACACCACACCACCTCGCACGAACCTCACTACACCCCACCTCACACAAACCTCCGCTACGACGACTGGGTCATACACGCCGACGAGATACTCATCGGACCGCGCATCGGTACGCTCGCACACCACACCACCTCGCACGAACCTCACTACACCCCACCTCACACAAACCTCCGCTACGACGACTGGGTCATACACGCCGACGAGATACTCATCGGACCGCGCATCGGTACGCTCGCACACCACACCACCTCGCACGAACCTCACTACACCCCACCTCACACAAACCTCCGCTACGACGACTGGGTCATACACGCCGACGAGATACTCATCGGACCGCGCATCGGTACGCTCGCACACCACACCACCTCGCACGAACCTCACTACACCCCACCTCACACAAACCTCCGCTACGACGACTGGGTCATACACGCCGACGAGATACTCATCGGACCGCGCATCGGTACGCTCGCACACCACACCACCTCGCACGAACCTCACTACACCCCACCTCACACAAACCTCCGCTACGACGACTGGGTCATACACGCCGACGAGATACTCATCGGACCGCGCATCGGTACGCTCGCACACCACACCACCTCGCACGAACCTCACTACACCCCACCTCACACAAACCTCCGCTACGACGACTGGGTCATACACGCCGACGAGATACTCATCGGACCGCGCATCGGTACGCTCGCACACCACACCACCTCGCACGAACCTCACTACACCCCACCTCACACAAACCTCCGCTACGACGACTGGGTCATACACGCCGACGAGATACTCATCGGACCGCGCATCGGTACGCTCGCACACCACACCACCTCGCACGAACCTCACTACACCCCACCTCACACAAACCTCCGCTACGACGACTGGGTCATACACGCCGACGAGATACTCATCGGACCGCGCATCGGTACGCTCGCACACCACACCACCTCGCACGAACCTCACTACACCCCACCTCACACAAACCTCCGCTACGACGACTGGGTCATACACGCCGACGAGATACTCATCGGACCGCGCATCGGTACGCTCGCACACCACACCACCTCGCACGAACCTCACTACACCCCACCTCACACAAACCTCCGCTACGACGACTGGGTCATACACGCCGACGAGATACTCATCGGACCGCGCATCGGTACGCTCGCACACCACACCACCTCGCACGAACCTCACTACACCCCACCTCACACAAACCTCCGCTACGACGACTGGGTCATACACGCCGACGAGATACTCATCGGACCGCGCATCGGTACGCTCGCACACCACACCACCTCGCACGAACCTCACTACACCCCACCTCACACAAACCTCCGCTACGACGACTGGGTCATACACGCCGACGAGATACTCATCGGACCGCGCATCGGTACGCTCGCACACCACACCACCTCGCACGAACCTCACTACACCCCACCTCACACAAACCTCCGCTACGACGACTGGGTCATACACGCCGACGAGATACTCATCGGACCGCGCATCGGTACGCTCGCACACCACACCACCTCGCACGAACCTCACTACACCCCACCTCACACAAACCTCCGCTACGACGACTGGGTCATACACGCCGACGAGATACTCATCGGACCGCGCATCGGTACGCTCGCACACCACACCACCTCGCACGAACCTCACTACACCCCACCTCACACAAACCTCCGCTACGACGACTGGGTCATACACGCCGACGAGATACTCATCGGACCGCGCATCGGTACGCTCGCACACCACACCACCTCGCACGAACCTCACTACACCCCACCTCACACAAACCTCCGCTACGACGACTGGGTCATACACGCCGACGAGATACTCATCGGACCGCGCATCGGTACGCTCGCACACCACACCACCTCGCACGAACCTCACTACACCCCACCTCACACAAACCTCCGCTACGACGACTGGGTCATACACGCCGACGAGATACTCATCGGACCGCGCATCGGTACGCTCGCACACCACACCACCTCGCACGAACCTCACTACACCCCACCTCACACAAACCTCCGCTACGACGACTGGGTCATACACGCCGACGAGATACTCATCGGACCGCGCATCGGTACGCTCGCACACCACACCACCTCGCACGAACCTCACTACACCCCACCTCACACAAACCTCCGCTACGACGACTGGGTCATACACGCCGACGAGATACTCATCGGACCGCGCATCGGTACGCTCGCACACCACACCACCTCGCACGAACCTCACTACACCCCACCTCACACAAACCTCCGCTACGACGACTGGGTCATACACGCCGACGAGATACTCATCGGACCGCGCATCGGTACGCTCGCACACCACACCACCTCGCACGAACCTCACTACACCCCACCTCACACAAACCTCCGCTACGACGACTGGGTCATACACGCCGACGAGATACTCATCGGACCGCGCATCGGTACGCTCGCACACCACACCACCTCGCACGAACCTCACTACACCCCACCTCACACAAACCTCCGCTACGACGACTGGGTCATACACGCCGACGAGATACTCATCGGACCGCGCATCGGTACGCTCGCACACCACACCACCTCGCACGAACCTCACTACACCCCACCTCACACAAACCTCCGCTACGACGACTGGGTCATACACGCCGACGAGATACTCATCGGACCGCGCATCGGTACGCTCGCACACCACACCACCTCGCACGAACCTCACTACACCCCACCTCACACAAACCTCCGCTACGACGACTGGGTCATACACGCCGACGAGATACTCATCGGACCGCGCATCGGTACGCTCGCACACCACACCACCTCGCACGAACCTCACTACACCCCACCTCACACAAACCTCCGCTACGACGACTGGGTCATACACGCCGACGAGATACTCATCGGACCGCGCATCGGTACGCTCGCACACCACACCACCTCGCACGAACCTCACTACACCCCACCTCACACAAACCTCCGCTACGACGACTGGGTCATACACGCCGACGAGATACTCATCGGACCGCGCATCGGTACGCTCGCACACCACACCACCTCGCACGAACCTCACTACACCCCACCTCACACAAACCTCCGCTACGACGACTGGGTCATACACGCCGACGAGATACTCATCGGACCGCGCATCGGTACGCTCGCACACCACACCACCTCGCACGAACCTCACTACACCCCACCTCACACAAACCTCCGCTACGACGACTGGGTCATACACGCCGACGAGATACTCATCGGACCGCGCATCGGTACGCTCGCACACCACACCACCTCGCACGAACCTCACTACACCCCACCTCACACAAACCTCCGCTACGACGACTGGGTCATACACGCCGACGAGATACTCATCGGACCGCGCATCGGTACGCTCGCACACCACACCACCTCGCACGAACCTCACTACACCCCACCTCACACAAACCTCCGCTACGACGACTGGGTCATACACGCCGACGAGATACTCATCGGACCGCGCATCGGTACGCTCGCACACCACACCACCTCGCACGAACCTCACTACACCCCACCTCACACAAACCTCCGCTACGACGACTGGGTCATACACGCCGACGAGATACTCATCGGACCGCGCATCGGTACGCTCGCACACCACACCACCTCGCACGAACCTCACTACACCCCACCTCACACAAACCTCCGCTACGACGACTGGGTCATACACGCCGACGAGATACTCATCGGACCGCGCATCGGTACGCTCGCACACCACACCACCTCGCACGAACCTCACTACACCCCACCTCACACAAACCTCCGCTACGACGACTGGGTCATACACGCCGACGAGATACTCATCGGACCGCGCATCGGTACGCTCGCACACCACACCACCTCGCACGAACCTCACTACACCCCACCTCACACAAACCTCCGCTACGACGACTGGGTCATACACGCCGACGAGATACTCATCGGACCGCGCATCGGTACGCTCGCACACCACACCACCTCGCACGAACCTCACTACACCCCACCTCACACAAACCTCCGCTACGACGACTGGGTCATACACGCCGACGAGATACTCATCGGACCGCGCATCGGTACGCTCGCACACCACACCACCTCGCACGAACCTCACTACACCCCACCTCACACAAACCTCCGCTACGACGACTGGGTCATACACGCCGACGAGATACTCATCGGACCGCGCATCGGTACGCTCGCACACCACACCACCTCGCACGAACCTCACTACACCCCACCTCACACAAACCTCCGCTACGACGACTGGGTCATACACGCCGACGAGATACTCATCGGACCGCGCATCGGTACGCTCGCACACCACACCACCTCGCACGAACCTCACTACACCCCACCTCACACAAACCTCCGCTACGACGACTGGGTCATACACGCCGACGAGATACTCATCGGACCGCGCATCGGTACGCTCGCACACCACACCACCTCGCACGAACCTCACTACACCCCACCTCACACAAACCTCCGCTACGACGACTGGGTCATACACGCCGACGAGATACTCATCGGACCGCGCATCGGTACGCTCGCACACCACACCACCTCGCACGAACCTCACTACACCCCACCTCACACAAACCTCCGCTACGACGACTGGGTCATACACGCCGACGAGATACTCATCGGACCGCGCATCGGTACGCTCGCACACCACACCACCTCGCACGAACCTCACTACACCCCACCTCACACAAACCTCCGCTACGACGACTGGGTCATACACGCCGACGAGATACTCATCGGACCGCGCATCGGTACGCTCGCACACCACACCACCTCGCACGAACCTCACTACACCCCACCTCACACAAACCTCCGCTACGACGACTGGGTCATACACGCCGACGAGATACTCATCGGACCGCGCATCGGTACGCTCGCACACCACACCACCTCGCACGAACCTCACTACACCCCACCTCACACAAACCTCCGCTACGACGACTGGGTCATACACGCCGACGAGATACTCATCGGACCGCGCATCGGTACGCTCGCACACCACACCACCTCGCACGAACCTCACTACACCCCACCTCACACAAACCTCCGCTACGACGACTGGGTCATACACGCCGACGAGATACTCATCGGACCGCGCATCGGTACGCTCGCACACCACACCACCTCGCACGAACCTCACTACACCCCACCTCACACAAACCTCCGCTACGACGACTGGGTCATACACGCCGACGAGATACTCATCGGACCGCGCATCGGTACGCTCGCACACCACACCACCTCGCACGAACCTCACTACACCCCACCTCACACAAACCTCCGCTACGACGACTGGGTCATACACGCCGACGAGATACTCATCGGACCGCGCATCGGTACGCTCGCACACCACACCACCTCGCACGAACCTCACTACACCCCACCTCACACAAACCTCCGCTACGACGACTGGGTCATACACGCCGACGAGATACTCATCGGACCGCGCATCGGTACGCTCGCACACCACACCACCTCGCACGAACCTCACTACACCCCACCTCACACAAACCTCCGCTACGACGACTGGGTCATACACGCCGACGAGATACTCATCGGACCGCGCATCGGTACGCTCGCACACCACACCACCTCGCACGAACCTCACTACACCCCACCTCACACAAACCTCCGCTACGACGACTGGGTCATACACGCCGACGAGATACTCATCGGACCGCGCATCGGTACGCTCGCACACCACACCACCTCGCACGAACCTCACTACACCCCACCTCACACAAACCTCCGCTACGACGACTGGGTCATACACGCCGACGAGATACTCATCGGACCGCGCATCGGTACGCTCGCACACCACACCACCTCGCACGAACCTCACTACACCCCACCTCACACAAACCTCCGCTACGACGACTGGGTCATACACGCCGACGAGATACTCATCGGACCGCGCATCGGTACGCTCGCACACCACACCACCTCGCACGAACCTCACTACACCCCACCTCACACAAACCTCCGCTACGACGACTGGGTCATACACGCCGACGAGATACTCATCGGACCGCGCATCGGTACGCTCGCACACCACACCACCTCGCACGAACCTCACTACACCCCACCTCACACAAACCTCCGCTACGACGACTGGGTCATACACGCCGACGAGATACTCATCGGACCGCGCATCGGTACGCTCGCACACCACACCACCTCGCACGAACCTCACTACACCCCACCTCACACAAACCTCCGCTACGACGACTGGGTCATACACGCCGACGAGATACTCATCGGACCGCGCATCGGTACGCTCGCACACCACACCACCTCGCACGAACCTCACTACACCCCACCTCACACAAACCTCCGCTACGACGACTGGGTCATACACGCCGACGAGATACTCATCGGACCGCGCATCGGTACGCTCGCACACCACACCACCTCGCACGAACCTCACTACACCCCACCTCACACAAACCTCCGCTACGACGACTGGGTCATACACGCCGACGAGATACTCATCGGACCGCGCATCGGTACGCTCGCACACCACACCACCTCGCACGAACCTCACTACACCCCACCTCACACAAACCTCCGCTACGACGACTGGGTCATACACGCCGACGAGATACTCATCGGACCGCGCATCGGTACGCTCGCACACCACACCACCTCGCACGAACCTCACTACACCCCACCTCACACAAACCTCCGCTACGACGACTGGGTCATACACGCCGACGAGATACTCATCGGACCGCGCATCGGTACGCTCGCACACCACACCACCTCGCACGAACCTCACTACACCCCACCTCACACAAACCTCCGCTACGACGACTGGGTCATACACGCCGACGAGATACTCATCGGACCGCGCATCGGTACGCTCGCACACCACACCACCTCGCACGAACCTCACTACACCCCACCTCACACAAACCTCCGCTACGACGACTGGGTCATACACGCCGACGAGATACTCATCGGACCGCGCATCGGTACGCTCGCACACCACACCACCTCGCACGAACCTCACTACACCCCACCTCACACAAACCTCCGCTACGACGACTGGGTCATACACGCCGACGAGATACTCATCGGACCGCGCATCGGTACGCTCGCACACCACACCACCTCGCACGAACCTCACTACACCCCACCTCACACAAACCTCCGCTACGACGACTGGGTCATACACGCCGACGAGATACTCATCGGACCGCGCATCGGTACGCTCGCACACCACACCACCTCGCACGAACCTCACTACACCCCACCTCACACAAACCTCCGCTACGACGACTGGGTCATACACGCCGACGAGATACTCATCGGACCGCGCATCGGTACGCTCGCACACCACACCACCTCGCACGAACCTCACTACACCCCACCTCACACAAACCTCCGCTACGACGACTGGGTCATACACGCCGACGAGATACTCATCGGACCGCGCATCGGTACGCTCGCACACCACACCACCTCGCACGAACCTCACTACACCCCACCTCACACAAACCTCCGCTACGACGACTGGGTCATACACGCCGACGAGATACTCATCGGACCGCGCATCGGTACGCTCGCACACCACACCACCTCGCACGAACCTCACTACACCCCACCTCACACAAACCTCCGCTACGACGACTGGGTCATACACGCCGACGAGATACTCATCGGACCGCGCATCGGTACGCTCGCACACCACACCACCTCGCACGAACCTCACTACACCCCACCTCACACAAACCTCCGCTACGACGACTGGGTCATACACGCCGACGAGATACTCATCGGACCGCGCACCGGTACGCTCGCACACCACACCACCTCGCACGAACCTCACTACACCCCACCTCACACAAACCTCCGCTACGACGACTGGGTCATACACGCCGACGAGATACTCATCGGACCGCGCATCGGTACGCTCGCACACCACACCACCTCGCACGAACCTCACTAGACCCCACCTCACACAAACCTCCGCTACGACGACTGGGTCATACACGCCGACGAGATACTCATCGGACAAGCCTTAAGCCTGCTCTACACTACTCGCGAGGTTGATCGAAGTTGGGCGAGGAGAATGCTATAAAGGGGCTAAAAAAAATATATACACTTTGTGCAAACTCGCTTTGCCTCGGGATACTTGCGATCGTAGTCGGTTTAATGCGCTCGAGTGAAAGAACTTCGCAAGGTGTCCCGAAGTTACACGATGCGTCTCACTACACTACTCGGCGTACGTCAACGCGAAGTTGCACGCGTGTGTTGTCACGTTCTTCGGACTTCGATCGACTTTAACGGGCACTTCGTCAAGGTAACTTCGCGATTAGTGTAGGGGGCTTTAGACCTCACGGGTGGCAACGCATCTGCATTTTGATTCAAATTGAGAATAGATAGATACCGTTTATGGGCCACAGCAACCAATTCTTATCAATGTCTCGTGTGCTCGTTTGTCACCCTTATCCTATAAAGGATAAAAATAAAAATGTCGCAAATTAAAAATGTAATTCAATAACACGCCTTTCATATTATCGAATAATATTCGTTTAAAAAACAAGAACTCGAAGGCCCAAGTTTTTACCGGCGGTTTAATTATATTTTTGTATCTCGAATTTAATTATTTTCCGAGCATATACTATTTCAATAAGTTGTATCTATTCTCGCACATCGAAATCTTTTCTTAAAGTCGATATTTTGTCCCAGAACTTAACCAATACATTACTTATCTATATTTACTAGTACTTTATCTATATTTTCAAATTTTACACTATAATACTTTTTGCTTAAATTCATTCAATACTTTGTATTTTCAGGTTCGGGCAGTTTTGGAACGGTTTACAAGGCACATTGGCACGGCCCAGTTGCCGTGAAGACACTGAATGTGAAGACACCAACACCTGCACAGCTACAAGCTTTCAAAAACGAGGTGAACGCCAAGTTTTTATATCATCATACACTTAGTGATGGATAGATGTGTCAACGCACGAAACACGGCAGCATTATGTTGTTGCTTCACGCTGGTATTCTGTGTTAGCGTGTTCCTTCCCCGGTCGAGTTGACCCAATCGTGCTGCAACTGGAACACAGTCGTAGTATGGTTTTACTATGTGAAGATGTTATTGCAGGTGTCTATGACTGTCCCGTTGGTCTAGTGGTTGTAAAAGCAATTGCTGATTATGAGGTCCCGGGTCACGGATCAGACCAAAATCAATTATTGGATTTTTTTGTCAAGGAAATCTTAGAAGCAGCACGGTGTTAGGAAGTTGGCGGTGTTTCACCTCTGTGCCTCGGAAAGCATGTCAAGCAGTTGGTCCTGATATCTCTCAAGTCATATCGGATTACCACCCCGTCGGACTATGCCGCTGAAGGAATAGACTATAGAAGTGTTATATCCAATAAAACACCGTAATTTAGGTAAATACGTGTATTGTGCTAGGTAGCAAATCTAATCACGAACTGGTTGACTTAACTGACATTATTTCTTAACAACGTTATGCAAGTACCCACCTTCATAACTATTTATAACAATCTATGATATAACAAGATGTATAATATGTTTGTCTGTTTTTAATGTATGATCGCGTTTTAATTCACAGCGATTCTAAAGAAGTTGTCATTTTATAAATAATAATACTTACTATAAGAGTTTCATCGGTTCTTGATATGCATATCTTGTAAATTTTTAAGTCATTCTGCCGTCCATAAGTTGGAGAAAATTATATTGAAATTTTTTACAAATTACTTCAATATGAATATATATATATTGAATGAATATATATTGTTGATATTTTAAAAACCTCTCGAGTGATTTCGAAAAAAATTAATGGGACTTTCTTTTTTTTTATATAGGAGAGGGGGCAAACGAGCTTACGGCTCACCTGATGGTAAGTGACTACCGCCGCCCAAGAACAACCGCAACACCAGGGGAATTGCAGATGCGTTGCCGGCCTTTCAAGAAGGAGTAGACTCTTTTCTTGAAGGTCCCTAAGTCGTATCGGTCCGGAAAAATCACTGGTGGTAAACTATTCCACAAGGAAGTTGTGCGAGGAAGAAAACATCTTCTAAATCGCACAGTGGTGGACCGCCAATCATCCAGATGGTGTCCTACCTACTACCTAGGAAGTATCCCTTGAAACAAAAAAATTATATTTTGAAATCGGTTCAGGCGTCTTTCAGTAATCGGTGTACATACATAAAAAAAGGTAGCGACGAATTGAAAGCCTCTTCAATTTTTGAAGTCGTTTGAGAAGCGTTTTAAAATATAACTAATATTACAGAAAGAAACATTAGTCCTTACATTTTCCAAACAAATTATCTTTTCCGCCATGAATAATATTTCTATGGCGCCGCTCTGGTGGCAGAGAAAGTGATGGCTGTGGACATTGAAGCTGAGCAAGTCGCGGTGGGTTGCAGGTGGCGGTACTGCGCAAGACGCGGCACTGCAACATCCTGCTGTTCATGGGCTGCGTGTCGAAGCCGTCGCTGGCCATCGTGACGCAGTGGTGCGAGGGCTCGTCGCTGTACCAGCACCTGCACGTGCTGGAGACGCCGCTGCCCATGCTCTACCTCATCGACGTGGCGCGCCAGACCGCGCAGGGCATGGACTACCTGCACGCCAAGAACATCATACACAGGTACCACTCTCCGCACCACACAACTTGTCAACACGAAAAGGCCACACTAGTTTCGATTATACTATAACAAAATGTATGACAACAAGCATTAGCACGGATTATTAGGCCTTGTACGGACTATGCGTTCCAATGTACGCGTACACAGAAACGCGTATACAATTTGAGCATGTGTGTCGGCTTTCGGTCGCATAAAGAGAAGTGCCGCAGTGGTGGTGCACACGACAGCTGCTTCGAGACATGGCGGATACTGACTGGCTGAGTCGAGCTTGTCACAACACGTTCATAATCTCGCAATGGATAAAGGTGTCCTGTACGCGTATTTAGCATATCTAGATTACGCGTACATTGGAACGCTTAGTTCGTATGAGGCTTTAGAAACAAGAGGAAGTAGCGAAGCACATAAATGAGGGCTAATATTCTTCAAATCTAATATTCTTCAACACCAGATGTCGCTAGTTGTGACTGAGGTAACATTTTTTGTTACATAATGTCAGTTAATTGAGAAATTAGTTTTAAATAATAGTTTATCATTATCTAGAGTATTATATTAATATACAACACAATGCGTCAGTGGTTTTATTTATAATTTTTTGGACTTTATAACTCATTTTTTTTTCTACTTTTAGTTATGGATATAGTTTGGATTTTTCATTTCTAATGTAATTAATATAAAATATAACTAGTGATACGGAAAGACACCTTAACGTCTACATTTTCCTAAGAAATTATCGTCCCTGCTATGAAATCTGTCAAATATTTTACCTCACTGTAAAGTGGCGCCGCCCTGGTGACAGAAAAAGTCGTGGATGCGCTCATTATACTAGAATCAGTATCGCCTAACTCGCACATTAGTAAGAAAAGAAATGTGAACCGACAATCGTGCATCATTTCAGTAACTATCACGTAATTCATTGATGCCAGCTTGTACGAAGCCTGGGCTGTTGGTGTATACTGTGATATTTACAGCGAACGTAACTGCCACAGCTAAACTAACAAGATCTATTTAATTTCAGGGATCTGAAATCAAACAATATATTCTTGAGGGACGACTGGTCGGTCAAGATCGGCGATTTCGGTCTGGCGACGGCCAAAGTACGGTGGTCAGGTGAGTTAGACTTCCTGTTTGTACAGTTATAATCATTCCTGTCTTTCAGTAGTACTGCTGCTGAACAGATCTTCCCCATGGAATGCCACAAAACACTGTCCCACACCAACTGCATCCATCGACTTCCTGCATGTCTTACAAAGCCATCACTCCGTTAATTCGTTCTCGAGTGGCAGCATCGTAAATGTTAGTGAAATTGAAAGCGGGCCCCCATTCAATGGAAATTTATATTTAAAACAATAAATTTCGTAATGATTTACTATACTGATACTAGCGATCCGCCCCGACTTCGCACGGGTGATTTATGGATCCTGACAACAGCGCCACCTACCGGGTCCAATTGTGAATCTAAACCATTCTCGAATCAACTTAATAACACATTCAAAATGTCATCGAAATCGGTCTATACCGATGGCCGCTTAGGAGGAGTTCAGTACCTAAAGTGGATGGAGAGTAGTGGACTGTATTTGGTGTTTTAAACTGTCGGTGTGAGGTTAGCTAAACTAGGGACTGCTCGAAGAAAAGATGGTACTTTTAATTATACTATATTCACTATTTACAAAGGGTTCGGTACATTAACTAATCACTATACAAAAGGGAGGTCTTCAATATGGAGTCTTCTGTCTTGATTCTTCCTTGTCTTCTGATGATCCGAAGGAACCGAATGAACGAATGAACGAATGAACGAATGAATGAATGAACAACGACCGTCCGAGGCGCCCTTCTTATATTTCCGAGAAGAGCGCTTCATTTCGTCGGGTTGGCCGCCCGATGGCAATATTCCCCGCACGCGCGCTGATTGGTTGCCCGATATCGCGTGATCAGCGCCGGCGTGCGGGGTGCGCGGGACGTAACGGGGAACGAAGGGGCGACGGGGCGGCGGGTCTCTCGCTGTCCGTAACATTCTCCCCCCGGCGTAGCCTTGCGAGCCTAGGCTGCACTCGGGAGGACGGCGATCCTCCTGACCGGCCGCCGCAGCAATCCGCCCCTGGTCCTTACTTCAACGTTTCGTACCACGCCGTCTGGTCCGGGAAAGGTCTTCGTTACAACTCCTCTTGGCCACACGTTCCGCGGCATGGTCCCGTCTGCCACCACGACGAGGTCTCCTTCTTGTACCGGGCGCTGCTGCACGTCCCTTGAGTCTCCGCGCGCAACCAGCGTCGGCAGGTATTCCTTCACCCAGCGCTTCCAGTACTCGTCGGCAAGTCCCTGCGCCGCTCTCCACGCCCGACGATCATTAGGCGTGCACGGCGCGGTCACTGGAAGGCTCGATGGTCCCAGCAGCAAGAAGTGGTTGGGTGTCAATGCCTCTTCTTCGTCGATGTCGACCGGTACGTGCGTCAACGGTCGAGAGTTAACGGTGTTTTCGGCTTCTGTGAGGAGAGTCGCTAATGTCTCCTCCCGTGGGCTCTTCTGATTGAGTGTGGCTTCGAGCGCGGTCTTCACCGAGCGCACGAGACGCTCCCATGCGCCTCCCTGGTTCGGCGCACCCGGCGCGATGAACTTCCAATCCGTCCGCCGAGTCAACGCGTAGTCCTTCAGCAGGGGTGCCCACTCTTCCATCGCCCGTCGTAATTCGGTGTCCGCCCCATGAAAGTTTGTCCCGTTATCCGAGTAGATGACCCGTGGCCACCCACGCCTAGCCGCCATGCGCCGCAATGCCGATATCGCCGAGTCCGTCGTTAGGGAATACACTATCTCTAAATGTACCGCGCGCGTCGTCAAACAAGTGAATAACGCTATCCACCGTTTTTCATGCCTACGTCCTATTGTTACCGTTATAGGCCCGAAATAGTCGATTCCGGTGTAGGTGAATGGTCGCGCGAATGCCCCTAACCGTTCAGGTGGTAGATCTCCGATAACCGCTGGCTGTGGTGTCGCCTTGCGTACCCTGCACCGCAGACATCTCCGCTCCACTTCTCGTACGGTCGGTCGTAGTCGAAGTATGTGATATCTCGTGCGTAGGTCGTTCACTACCCGTTCCCTGTTGGCGTGGCTTGCTTCCTTATGCGCCTTCTCCACAAGCAGCTTTACAAACTGGTGGCGTCCGTTCAGGATGATGGGCCTCTTCATTTGGCTGTCCACATTGGCTGCGTCAATCCGTCCTCTAGCTCGCAGTACGCCATCTTCGAATATGGGGTCGAGCTTCCTTAACGCGCTGCCGGTTGCCAAGTTCTTTCCTTTCTGCAGTCGACCGATGTCTTCAGCAAAACTCTCTTGTTGACTTCGCTCTATCCACATCCGCTCTGCTTTATGGATGTGGTCCAATGTTAGTCCGTGCGCCTTTCCTCTCATGGCATCGACGAACTGTAATATCCGAGCGGTGGCCCTGACCAATCTCTCGTAAGAAGAGAACCTCTCGATGTCTGGCAGGTGTGGAGCGCTCCTGGTGTCGCTCTGGTGCGCCACGACTTCCTCCATCTCATCATCTTCATCCCCTGCCTTCTCTTCCCGTCGTCGAGGCCATCGATCTTCCTCTTCGTACAGGAATGGCGGTCCCGTAAACCATTTGTCGCTCTCTTCCTTGTACGTATAATTAATGCGCGTTGCCTGATCCGCGATGTTGTCTGCGGTCGGTATCCACCTCCATTGCTCGGGTGACGTCTTCTCCGATATTTCCCCTAATCTATGTGCTACGTATGGGGTGTAACGCGCCGTATCGTTTTGAATCCAATGGAGCGCCGTAGTGGAGTCTGTCCAATAAACTATCCTATCGGCTACCACTCTGTGCTCGCCTTGCACAAATTCCGCGAGTCGCGCGCCTATCAGATTCGCCTGCAATTCTAACCGTGGTATGCTTTGCGCCTTTATCGGGGCGACTTTCGCCTTGGCCGCCACTAATCGTACCTTAACCGTTCCGTCGCGGTATCGTAATCGCCAATACGCCGCGGATGCGTACGCACGTTCGCTTGCGTCGCTGAACACGTGGAGCTGACGCTCTACCACTCCCCCCGTAGGAGCATAGCACCTAGGCAGCCGCAGTCGTGATACTTCCTCGACGACCCGCAGCCACCTCTGGAATTCCTCAGCTGCCTCCTCGGGTAGTTCGTCGTCCCATCCGACCTTCTTCATCCGCCACAGGTCTTGCAGCAGGATCTTGGCGGTGATGGTGAGGTAGCTCAGCAGTCCAAGCGGGTCGAAGACCGACATGACTGCACTCAACGCCTCTCTCTTGGTCGGTGGCCTCTGCAGCGTCTTCACCTCGTTCGGTACCCGGTTCATGGATGTGTTGAACGTTAAGGCGTCTTCATTGGCCATCCATAATAGCCCTAGGGTTCTGCCTGGGCTGTCTTGTCTCAAGCCTACCTCCTTAGGCTTGCTCGCTAATAATTCCTCCGGCTTGTCTTCTAGTAGGGCTGCGTGGTTCGAATTCCAGCCCGCTAAGGTGAAGCCGGCCTGCTGGTGGACTTCCGTAACCTGCCTCGCAGTGTTTACCGCTTCCTCTACCGTAGCATAACTGTCTAGGTAGTCATCCATGTAGTGACTACGTACGATAGCGTTAAGTGCCAACGGATGTGTCTCAGCGTGTGCGCGCGCGTTATGATCCCTAACGCTATGTGCGAGAAACGGCGAGCTCCTCGCACCGAAAATCATTGAAGTCATAACGTATTCCCGCGGTGGGCTGGATCGCTCGTTACCTCGCCACAGAAATAATTGCGCGGGCTGGTCGCGACGGTCAATCTTAACGCGTAAAAACATTTCCCTAATGTCCGCTGACACGGCTATTTCGTTCTCCCTAAATCTGAACAGTATGCCCGGTAGGTTCCGTAACAAGTCGGGGCCGTCAAGCAAATAATCGTTCAAACATTTACCGGACGCACGCGCTGCCGCGTCGAAAACCACTCTCGTCTTCCCAGGCTTGTTCGGGTTTCGTACTGCGAAGTGGGGCAGGTACCAGCTCTTAGGGTCCTCTCTCTCCGTCCCCTCGGCTTCCCTTGCGTATCCTTTCGCCAGGAGGTTATCTATTTGTGCGGTATAGGCGTCTCGAAATTCCGGCGATTTGTCCATTTTCCTCTCGATCGTCCGCAGTCTTCTAGCAGCCATCTCGTAGCTAGGAGGCATCCGCACGTCGTCGTCCTTCCATGGCAGTCCCACCTGGTATTGATCGCCGACCTTCTTGACGGTGCGCTGGAATATCTCGACAGCGCGTTCCTCTTCCCGTCGCGGCCTATTCCTTAGCGAGATACCGATGGAATCGATCTCGTACTGCCGTTTGAGGAGTTCCGTTATCTCCTCGTCTTGACTCGCGAACGTTCGGATGTCCCTATCTATCCGTCCGCTACTGCTTACTACGTGTAACACGGTTTCACCGTCCTCCCTACACGTGAATCGCGGCACGGTTCCCTGTATCACCCATCCTAATAGCGTACGTGCAGCTATAGGCTGCCTTCGACGCCCTATCCTCAAGTTACGGGTGATTATTAAATGCCAATTGTCGGCTCCTAATAATAATCTCGGTTTGGCGTCCTCATAGCAAACCGAGCTCGGTAGGTCGCGTAAATGCTTTAGACGTAAACACTCTTTATTCACCGACTGCGAACCTATCTGTAAGTTCGTTACTGTACGCGCATTTATTCTATACATTTCGCTGCGCGATTTTCCACGTATGCCTATGTTGACTAGCCTGCTATCGGCCTCGCGCTGACTATTGCTTATTCCCCTAATATTCAGCGGCTTTACCGGTCCTTCCGCTCCTAACTCACGCGCTAAGTCGTCATCGATCAACGAAATAGTCGAACCTTCGTCGAGCAACGCGTACGTGTCTATTTCCTTACCGTGTGATCCACGTAACGTAATGGGACACACTTTCAACAATACGGATGCATTCCTACCGACGTTAGACGCGACGAGTACGGTCTCATCTGGTTTGGCCGATGTCTCAGGTGCGCGGGTCTTGCGGGTGTGAAGGAGGGCGTGGTGGGGGGCGTTGCAGCCGTCGATGCCGCATTTCTTTGCTTTACATTTAAACCGTCGGTGTTTACTGTTTAAACATAGAAAACATACCCCGTTTTCTTTTACC